TATTTGTTATAGGTAGTAACACATCAAGATTTGTGAACCTCTACCGACACTTTCTAAACACGTTGGTCGAATATCGGCCTCTGAGCACGTCTTGATAAGTGACGCTAAATGTGTGGAAAGTAGGCAATATTGACAACAAGAAACACGTCCCATGGAAACAGAAGTCGTGGTCCATTATGGCAGCACTGGGAAACGAGCGCGGTGAAGTCTGTCCTTAACGGGTGACAGTGGGATGGAAGGCAACATTGGAGGACACAGATAATACATAAGCAGTGGACATAATGTTATTTATAGTCTGTTGGCAGTGAAAACGTACCGATCAATTTCACTTTAAACAAAAAAGTAAATCAAATAAAGTGAAATTTTGATTGCGAATCCTCATAATTTTACCTTGCCAAATGAACATTTAAATCTCAGTATTTTATTCAACTTAGGATAAAAGATGTTTAACAAACGATCATAGTTTCAAATCGCTATTATTGGTTTGTATTACAAGGGGTACGCGCAGTAGTTGGAACAGTGAAACAAATGCACGTACGGTACGTGATGAGCGTTAACTTAGACTACCGTAGAAACCAACCCTTCTTGTTCTCGGAGTTTCATTTAAAGTGCATACCCCCTTGTAATACAAAACCAATAATATCGACATTAAACTATGATCGTTTGTTAAACATCTTTTATCCTAAGTTGAATAAAATTCTGAGATTTTAATGTTCAATTTAAGTGAAATTCATCGGTACGTTTTCACTGCAAACAGACTATAACACATCTAAAATCAGACTGGACAATAGGTATTGTTCTGCTGGTCACATAGTTGTTTGTTCAGTGACCATATCTCATTTGTCTGGTATAGACCAAAGATTTGTGGAAAATGGACGGATCAAGTACAACGAATGTTGACATCATATGTTCGCGAAAAGAGAAAAAAATTCTGTTTCGCAGGTAGAACTGCCATTCACCCATACTACCTAAGAGACAGGTATCAGTTTACTATTATTACAGTGATGATCATACATTTTTAAGCTCTAGGGGACCGTTCATAATTTATGGCCATGATGATGATTTTAAGGGGGGTCACCCATTTTGTTCTGGGGAGGAGGGGAGAGGTCCAGCAATTTTGTACATAAAAATATTTAAATTGTATGGTTAAAAATTAGGGGGGGGGTCATTGATTTTGTACATGGCATGCAGAGGGGTCACTTACTTTGTGCATACATTTTAGGGGGGACATTCACATTGCACATGCTTCTCCATAAAAATCATCATCAACCCACCCCCCACCCCGTTCCTAATTTGATGTAAACATTATTTGTATTTATCACTTTATATCAGATGTCCAATATTTCTGTGAGATTTCGACTAAAAAATCCATGTGATATGCAGGATTTATTTTATGGTCGACCCACCACCCTTGTTTCTGAAACCGACGAAATCTATCTACCACGTCGTCAGAATAACTAACTAATTAACTAACTAACTAACGAGTGTATTAATAAGAGAGAGAGAGAGACAGACAGACAGACAGAGACAGAGAGACAGAGAGACAGAGAGAGAGAGACAGACAGACAGACACACACACACAAGCTTACATTAATAGAGATGACAACGCACATTCAGATTTGGTAAGACCTTTGACCAGAGAAATTAGTAGCGGTGGCAAGCCGTACTGTCGTTACACTGTTGACAGTTATAGGAAGGAGAATGCACATGGAGGGGGCGTGATCTGCGCATGTGCGACAGTATGTACATTACTTCTCTAAATGTTAATGCCGCAGTTTCTGAACACTGATATAAGATCAAAGCTCGTCGATTAAGGTAGAGAGGTGACAGTCGACGGAGTGTACGCCTGGTCTGAGATGGACCACCTTCTGTGTCTGGTTCTAGCACTGGCCATTGTGGTCAGTGTTGATGGACAACAACCGAGCAGTAAGTCCAACTTGTCATTTATTGTGGATGTAGTACTATTAGGGGCTAATATGCTGGCACTCCCTTACCTCAAAACAACGCCAGGTAGTTTCAGTTTTTGCATCATAATTTCATACAGGTCATTTCATAGTCCACCTGTAATACCTATTAAGTAAAGGAGGGAAGCGACACTGTTTGAAACAAGTCGTCCTACTGTGTCCAAGAGGGAGAGAAAAGTATTCACTGGTGTTATGTTCACTTACTCCCTTAGAGAGAGCGGGTGAATGCTGTGTAGCACGGAGACCTGTAACTGACTGAGTAGATGTGGGCCAAGAAGGAAGCTTTTGTGTTATGACCTTTTGACAATTTTGTAACAGTTGCTTATAATTTAGTATAACTATCAAGAGACTCAAGTTATATAGATAACTTCCAAGGAGCGACTGGAAACAAAGACAAAGTTATGTAGGGTAGGAAAATTCCACTGCTGGTGTGAAATCGCGTTTATACGAGCTCTGTTCACCGGTCGTTTATTGGAGCTTTTATGACAACGTCACTTTTCCGCGCTGTGGTTAAATGTGATTTGTTCTGACTTCGATATATACTACTAAAGATGTTGAAAGGCACCCGATTCTTCCATGTTACTACAGTCAATCGGTCATGACATCGGCTGTTCTTTACCTTCGTCTCAGTACTATATAATAATAGGCTGCAAGGCATTCTCAGTATGTTTTCAGTACGATGTACAGCAGTTAAGATGGTGGCATGATGGCTACAGGAGTTAGGATGGTGGCAGGATGGCTACAGGAGTTAGGATGGTGGCAGGATGGCTACAGGAGTTAAAATGGTGGCAGGATGGCATCTCAGGAGTTATAGTAGCATCTCGAATGAACAAGGTTTCAGTGTAATACAGTATGAATCCCAAACATTGGTTCAGTCAAGGCCTGTCAACCACAGACGCTATGCATGCAGATGTCGCGCTCTCTATGTAGGGGGTATTTTAAAATCACCATGGACAGTGCAGGGACACGCACATAGGTGGATGATAATAGAGGCCTGTGCTTCACAGCGCGGGCTGTGATTATACGCTATACTTTGTACCATGTACCTGTGTAACGATGACATGCAGCGACTGAACCTGTTACAATGATCATACCACTGCTGTCCAGAGTGGATTCCATTCGTGGGCAATCAAACATAACAACACATATCAACCCTGGGTGCTGCTGTACAAAGCGATCTTAGCGCTAAGGTGACCGTAACTCCCATACCTTAACATAGACTTAGCGCTAAGGTGACCGTAACTCCCATACCTTAACATAGACTTAGCGCTAAGGTGACAGTAACTCCCATACCTTAACATAGACTTAGCGCTAAGGTGACAGTAACTCCCATACCTTAACATAGACTTAGCGCTAAGGTGACCGTAACTCCCATACCTTAACATAGACTTAGCGCTATGGTGACAGTAACTCCAATACCATAACATAGACTTAGCGCTATGGTGACCGTAACTCCCATACCTTAACATAGACTTAGCGCTATGGTGACAGTAACTCCCATACCTTAACATAGACTTAGCGCTATGGTGACCGTAACTCCCATACCATAACTTAGACTTAGCGCTATGGTGACCGTAACTCCCATACCATAACTTAGACTTAGCGCTAAGGTTGCTTTGTACAACGGCACCCTGATCATTTGTCTACACTCTCATAGGCGGATCCAGAAGGGGGTGGAGGGGTGCGCACCTTTCTTTTGTCCTGAAAGTTATTAAATGACCATTGAAACTCGGGTGAAAATTAAATGTGCACCCTCCCTTTTCTCAATAGTACGTACACACACACACACGCGCGCGCGCGCGCACGCACGCACACACACACACACACACACACACACACACACACACACACACACACACACACCTTCTGAAAAAGCTGTATCCGCCCCTGACTCTCTACTAGTGCTCATGGGTTTCGCCAGAGTGGTGTAAGTGGTCAACCGACATCGATTCTGATAGCTGTAAAAATACTGTTAGACCATACTACTCCATCCTACATCTACATGTACATGTGCTCTTTAGCCTATTTCTCTTTCCAGGGTCATCCACCGATCTTACATTAGCAAGTAGACATATTCTTTCACCACAGCTTTCAAAAATATCAATAATATGTACTGTTTGGAGGACGATCCATATTGACTACATTACACTGTTGTGAAGCCACAAAACTGGCGTTACAAAGCCTCGTTTACGGTTCATATTTACAGTATGATAGCTATTCGGTACAGTTACTTTACAGTCAGGACGTTAATGTGCTATGGTATGTAACCTTCTACCACCTCAGCTGACTTTTGACCCTTATTGTAAATAGGTAGAGTTACCCATCACGAGATGCAGCAGACATTAGACATAGCGTATCGTCTTACAACAGTTGTATAACACAAACACTACCCCTGTTTACAGCGTCTTATCTTAAAAACTGTAACAGCTATGAGGACTCGTTTGTTGAAAATGTCAATGAAGCCTAATTACTATTTGCATGTTTGTTATTGAACCTTTGAAGCGCAATGCCGATTTTATCTTGTCTACTGACCAATCGTGTGTGCGGACCTGTCATAGTGGGCGTGGTCGGTGGGCGTGATACTGTTTGTCATTCCACCTGGCGGGTGAATGCGGGGAAAAGTAAAAGCATCAATTTGACAAATTATGTGTGTGGCTGTCAACAATATAACAAACGACTGAAAGCCGGTACAAATATGTAACAATACTTCCCCCTTTTCGGCTCATTCCACGATCTTAAACTGACAAATTTATGAAGGATATACACCCAAACCGACAATACACAATGTGCATGACTAGTTAACTGTACAACCCTGTCGTGTTTCAATTCCAGTGATATCAACGAAAGAGATATACCTAATGTAGGTAACACTTTGTGATGATGTGTAAAGCGCTTTTCACCAGCATCTCTAGCACACCAAAGGTCCTAACATAGGTAGTAATGTCATCAAACGGTGTGAGGATTCTGCTAAAGGAGACGGCCAGCAAAATGATTTTGTGCAATAATCAAATAATCAGTGTTGTTTTAACATTACAGCAATATTAGTCCGCCTTGTTGGCAGTTCTGCGACCTATGGTAGGGTAGAAGTCAGAAACAACGCGACAGCGCCCTGGGGAACAGTGTGTTCCGATGCCTGGGGGAACAAGGATGCTACTGTCACCTGTCGGATGCTGGGATACCGCTGGGGAACGGTATTTGACATACTTGCTGAAATAATTACTAGGAAGAGAAAACTTCAGTCAAGGAAATCTTATTTATCATTTCCTTTTCAAGTTGTACATCCAGCGTGTTCTTGAGCATCTACGCACACAATGTCTGATTACGTACTTTCAATGCTATTAAAAGTAGTATTAATTTATGTGCTTTAAGGCTACAGTTATGGCTACAGTAGTTTCATGATATGCAATTACCATTTCTCGTGTCAGGCTTTTCCGTACTACGGCGGTGGCAACGGCATGATCTACATGGACAACGTGGAGTGTACCGGCAATGAGAACACGCTCGCCTCATGTCGGTATGCTGGGTGGACGATACACAACTGTCAGCATTATGAAGATGCAGGGGTTTCTTGCTCCAACGATAACTGTGAGTTTTAGCGCTACATATAGTGCCAGGGTATTAACGCCATATGCAAGGGCCAGTTTCTTTCATGCACATACAACTGAAGTGTTGGTTTGGGCATTACCCAAATTTCTTCGTAAACAATCCTGTTTCACATCTACAGACAGCAAAACTGTTTACGGGCCTTGTTTTGTTTAGTTAAATTGTCGTTTTCATAACTAACTTTTTTAGTAAACGTATACTAAGTAATCAAAGTCAATTGAATATTTGCCTTCAAGTCCGCTTGGTTGGTACCGTGCAAGCATCGCAGCCACGACGTCCTTCAACATCGTATGGTGCTGTTCAGTATCGAGATCCTACTGGCTGGAAGCCTGTGTGCGACTCTGGCTGGGGCAACAACGATGCCAAGGTGTTGTGCAGGTATGTTGTAACTTACCAACTGATTGCAACCGTTTTTCACATGTCCTGACAAAATTGACATTGACTAGTATACAATTTCTGGATGTCATGTTTATATGAGAGCACTAGCACAGTCTACTGGGTTAGTGCCAGTATGTCTTCTCCAGCATCTACACGGAATGATTTCGTGCAATATGCTACATACACAGAAATAATGGTTGTGTAAATATTTGTATCACTGTTTACTGAACGGACATTTTCATATTCTTCCAGGTCCCTGGGCTATCAGGACGGGTCAGGACTGTGTTGTAGTAAACTCAGCCCCTACACCCGCAATCCAACTCTGTACACAAGGCGCTCAAGGAGAAACTTTAACTGTGCCGGAACCGAAGCTAACATCTTCAACTGCACAAACCAGCTCCGTTCCTCTGACTGCAGCTACAGACGACTTGCATCAGCTATCTGCTACTCACAATCCAAGAGTCAGGTTGAGATGGGTACGGTATTGTTTTACAGTAATGTACACACGGATTGTCTTAATGCATTTGTTTTTTTACATCTTTGTGTGGCAGCGGGAAACCTAATGAATCAATGGCAGGGGCGTAGCTACCATTATAAAAAAAGCCCGGGGCTTACACGTGATTTTTGATAAAATATGTCTAATTATGGCAAAAAATACCCATAAACACGTTATCAGAACAATATAAAAATGGTAATCCCTCTATGAATCATATTGACTACAATATTCTTTGATAACAAAGCATTACAAATAGAGTCACCATTTACAGCAAACATGTTATTCTTCATATCATAGATTTCAAAGGTGTCATGTATGTATATGTTTTGTTACAGTCATGATTATATGTGAATCATAACTGAAATGCAGGTACAATCACTTAGAAAAAAACAAATACTCGATGCATGGTATTGTATCAGTAAACGTGCGTTGAACAATGTCAAAACATATTTGCATATGAGAAAGTCACATGTCAATCAAATGCTTATTCTTTCTGAAATATTGGTAGACTACTCTAAGTTATCCTTATGATTTCAAAATATTGATAAGATAACAACATTTTGAAGTTATTAAAATCATCTAACGTCAAACAATAACACTTCAGGTCTCATAATGAATGAAGGTAGGCAAGCCCTCAATACTATCTAAATTTAAGCTTTGCAACCTATCGGGCTTACACTAAAAATGGCTTGCTACGCGCCTGAATGGAACTGAAAAGCTGGTGATTTCGGTTGTGGTTGCAACAGGTAATGGAGTAGAAGAGGCAGTAGTAGCAGTAGTTATTTTTGCAGAGGCATTTTGTATGGCTGCTTTCAACGTATGGAAGTAGATAAGTACGAGAGTAATATATTAGTTGACATTTTGGGTGTTAAAGTTGTTGCCATCGTGATAGAAGGTGAAGCAAAAATATAGTGGAGATTTGATCATATAGTATAATAGATGACCGTATTTGTCTTTGTACTTGACGTGCCCCCAGTGTTGTTAGATGTAATCTGGCCTTCATAGTTGTTTACAGGAGACATTGAGGCTTTCATGAACTTTCATTCCCAGGATTCAGCCTTCGCCTTGTAAATGGCACAGATATGGCAGGTCAAGTTGAAGTTACAAATCTCGGGGTAGCGGGTAAGATTTGTGCCAACAACTGGAACGTCAACGCCTCCAACGTTGTGTGCAAGCAGCTTGGCTTCAGAGGCGGTGTGACCTACGGCACCACGAACACAAGGACTGACCTACCGGTGTGGATCACATCCGTCAACTGTACCGGCCAGGAGACGAGCCTGGACCAGTGTGTGTCCTCCGTCTGGGGCGTACCAAAGGGATACTGTTATCCCGCCAATGTCCTCTGTTACAGGAACGGTAAGATTATTTTGGACCAAAATATTGTTTTGTTTAATTCCCATTCTACAGATGTTATTATCTAACTATCACTAGAAGCAGTGTCTTTGAGTGGTTTGAACATATTTTTTTGTTGCCAGGAGACGTATTATGATCAAAATTAGTTGATTGTTGATTGATCTTATATGTTTTCTAAAAATTTAACAATCAATTTCTGTAGGTACTGACTTCATGGTTAACTTTCGCGTGTCAGTCTGGTTCTTTCAAATTAATACAGTACGTTGTATAACTGTTGTACAGTGCAGTACCGCTAGTGTCTGAACGACTGGTTGAGCGAGTGATTGAGTTCAGTTTTATGCCGCTTTTAGCAATATTCCAGCAACATCACGGCGGAGAACACCAGAACTGGGCTTCACACATTGTGCCCATGTGGGGAATCGAACCGGGGTCTTAGGCGTGACGAGCCAACGCCTTAACCACTAGGCTACCCCACCGCCCCCTCTGAACTAATGACTTTTACAGGTCACAGATGTAATACTACCTACATCATTTCAAACATTCCTACACTCACGTTTCCAGGATTTATAAGGCAGAAACATTTTGTGGCAGAACAACTGTTAAGCCTTTTCAATGCTTGTGTGTTGCTCGGTCATCATGGCTTCCATCACATGCCCCTTACAGGGACTGACTCTACCTACTCAATAACCGCATGTAGCAACATGGTTTAGTGATCTAATACAAATCTATATATATTCTTAAATATCTGAAATACACTGCATGAAGTGACCTTTTTGACTGCGGACACTCTTGATGCAAGTTGAACCTGTTCCACCATCATGCTTACACAATACACGAAACTGTCTTTCCTAAAACAAACATGGCGGACAGCAACTCGATCTGTACATAGTATACTAGTTCAGGAGTTGAGGACATGTGATAATCCAACTGTAACTTAGGCATGTTTTTTCAAAAAAGAAACTTCCCGACTGGACATTTACATGAATAATATGGCTTCTTTGTTTTGGATTTTCTCAAAATTGACACTTGTTCCAATAAAGTGGATATGTCATGGTAAAATCACTAACATCCAACACACTCCGTTCCAGGTCCCCCACAACTCAGCCTCGCTGGCGGAGATTCAACCCACGGCCGGGTGCAAATCACAATAGACGGAGAGACAGGCACCGTCTGTGACAACAGCTTCTCCAACGGGGACGCAAGGGTGGTCTGTAAAACGTTAGGCTTCAGGGACGGGAACTACCTGAAAGGTAGGCTACGTCTCTGTGTCTTTTAAACCTGCTAAACATCTTTGTTCCGTGGAATTGGCCAGTTTCTATGGAAATATGATAATACACGTTTTGTTTTCCACCCACAGGGTCCTACTACGGGCCTGGGAGTGGCCCCATCTTTATGGATAGATTGTACTGCTCGGGATATGAACGAACGCTGTGGTCATGTCGTAACGGAGGCTGGAAGAACGCCGCTCCATCCTGCGGAAACCACTCGAAAGACGCTTCGGTCACCTGCTTCAATGAAAGTAAAGTGACCAAATTTTACATAGACCCACCCATTACCTAAAAGGATACTTTCGTATGTAATGTCTTGAAGAAAATGTATTATAAGGACATATTCAGAACATTTGGTGGACACAATGAGGATCACACCCTTCAGGACCTCGCGGTGTCCAATGTGATCATCTTTGGCTGAATATAATTCAGTACAGTTAAACGCTGTCCGACCTCTTCTTAGGCTATACATAATAGAAACTGAAAACATTGTCTTCAGAAAGTAAACGTTTGGAAAAGTAAACATATTTACGAGTTGACATTTATGTTTTCAGTACAGCTGCATGGAGGCGACCACGGCCACGGGATAGTGCTGGTATGGAGCCAGGCTCGTTATGGAAGCTACTCGAACTGGCAGCCGCTTTGTGGAACTGGCTTTGATGACGCTGCTGCAAAGGTCGTCTGTCGAGAGCTGGGATTCCAGAATGGTCGAGCCTTACCAAGGGGATCTTACGACACCTACTACTCCTACTACTTAGGCAGCAACATCACCTGCACTGGTAACGAGGCATCGATCATGAACTGCACGTTAGGGAGTGGGACCTGCAGTCGACAGGGCTACACCGGATATGCGTCAGTTTCCTGCTACAACGGCACTATCAGCACCAGTAAGTAACGGAAACTATAGTAGTGAGCCCATACTTGTAGTCATATTCATTATGATTTGGATCAGTCATCCATGTCATCGATATGAAACTATTTCAAGCAGGAATGTTCAAACTGAACATGACACCAGTCACCAGGAACGAACTTGTTATTGAATTGTACCTACAGCGTCATCCGTCAACGTTCTTGAAATGCCAATCAAACAAGACATTGGCTGAGATTATCAATATTATTCAAGGCCATTAACCATATTTCAGGTTCATGGCATATTTTTCTCATATTAATCATAGGTTAGGGCACACGTATAGATTTGTATATATAAAACGTTCACACAGAGAATAACCAGTCCCCATTATCAGATTCAGATTCTGTTTGGCGTAAAGAGAAAAATCTAGCTGAAAAGTATGCATATAGATGAAACTCAGCGATGATTGTTCACCTTCTTATCCGAGTTACGATTGGTTTCACCAATGATTATCCTCTCAATTGTCCGTCAGCTTCTTCTATCAAGCTCTCTGACGGACCTGACGGGTATAAGGATGTGAACGGGCATGTCGCAGTTACCAAGTCTGGTATTTCCGGGAGAATCTGCGAGGTGAATTGGGATGACACAGACGCGGGTGTCGTCTGCCGCCAACTCGGTATGACAGGTGGAGTCAGCTATCAGTTCAACACACGAGCTTTTGGACCGTTCCTTTTGTCCGAGGTGAACTGCTTCGGCAACGAGACCTCTCTGTTCAACTGTTCCACCGGAAGTGAGGTCTGCACAACTCGGAATTACGCTGGTTACGATGCAGGAGTATTGTGTTACAGAAACAACCGTGAGTTGTCTGAGCAAATGCAAACTGTTATTTCAAGTATGATCAACATATAAGTATGGAATCCTGGAAGGGACATTGTCGCGTTGTCGCATTGTCGCGTTGTCGCCCTCTCAAATACAAGCAAAATGAGGCAAAATTAACCAAAACGCGACACGCGACATAGCGACAATGTCCCTTCTCGGATTCCATATATAAGCAAAACTCATTACTCATGACAATATTCCTTAAGAATAAAGAACTTGTATTTCCTGCTTGTTAAGCATACAGATTTTCCATTCTTGCAACCATTAGCTTCAATGTACCATGAGCTTTATTAGAAATATCATGTTAGACATGCAAGTTTAAACTTAGACATTCCAGTTACATGCATCGTTAGGTCCACCATTTTAAATCATTATATGCACTGAATATATATTATATATTAGTGTAGAAAATAAAGTATAGAATGTAAATAAAATAAATACCATTGTCTGAGTAAAACTATTTCTTGGCGTGACATTTGTGACCGAGCCTTAAGTTAGTGCGTGTAATCCCTGTCTGTCAACAGCAATCCGAGTGGAGCTGGTTGGAGGAACTGCGATGTCAGGGAGGGTAGAAATCATCTACAACGGCGTGCGAGGCACCGTGTGCAACAGTTACCGTTATACAAGCGCTCCAAAAGCTGTGTGTAAACAACTGGGGTACAATGACGGCACTTCCTCCAGGTACAATGTGTAGAAAATATTGCTTAGTACATATTGATAGCCTCTTCTGTAGAAATAGTATATATTGATTCCAACTTCTATAGCACGAGTATATATTGATATCACGTCCAGTAGGAGTATAAAATTGTATGGATAACCTCATCTGAAGAATACATCAATGTCCTAATATCCTAATGTCCACTTCTAATTGTGAATTATTAAGAAACATATCTATGTGCATCTATAAAGCTTTGCTTCTAACTAAAGTATTTCTACAAAGTATTGATAGGTAAAACATCTTAAACATAAATATATCAATCATCTTTATCTGTGCATTGCTAACACGTCTTAACAATTGATTACAGTATTGCCTACAGTATGGCCTACACTATTTGCGTAATAAAGAGTGAGTGAATGAGTGAGTTTAGGTTTACGCAGCACACTCCAATATTCCAGCTATATGGCGGCGGTCGGTAAATAATCGATCTGGACCAGATAATCCAGTGATCAATAGCATAAGCATCTGCCTGACCACCCGATCCCGTTTGTCGCCTCTTACGACAAGCATGGGTTAGAGAAGATCAATATTCTAACCCGGACCTTCACGGGTAGCGTAATATAGAATTGACACTATATATAAACTCTGTCAAAAAAGAAACGCAACCCCTGTATTTTAGAGATTTTGATCTGAAGTTTTAGGACGACACGGCATTTTTATTATTTAAGACAGAAGTCTGAAATTTGGCAGAATAATAACCCAGATGGGCATGTTTAAAATTGTCATTTCAAAAGTCATCTCACAGACACCAGTTTGTCACCAGGGGGGGCGTCTTTCTCAGTATCTCGTATGAGCACCACGCGCTGCAATCACTGCACGGCATCTCCTTGGACAAGAACGGATAAGACGCCGGATTCTTTCCTGGGGAATGGCTCTCCACTCCTCCTGCAGTGCAACGGCGAGCTGTTGCAGCGTCTGTGGCGGCGGCTGACGTTGACGTACGCGTCGATCCAGAGTATCCACAGGTGTTCAATAGGGTTGAGGTCTGGTGATTTAGAGGGTCATGGCAAGACATTGACGTTGGAATTCTGCAGAAAGTTCATTGTTGCACGTGCAGTATGAGGCCGGGCGTTGTCCCGTTGAAAAATCTGTGTCTGTTGGTCAATAATCGGGAGAAGGTGAAGCTGTAACACGTGGTTGATGTAACGTTGGGCTGTCAGGTTCCCTGGAACGATCACCAAGTCTGATTTCTGGTTGTATGAGATGGTTCCCCAAACCATGACGCTTTCTCCGCCAAATCTGTCCACCTGTCGGACGCAGATGGGCGCAAAACGTTTATGACGTCTCCTATACAGACGCTGTCTTCCGTCGTGACGTTGCAAAAGAAAACGTGATTCATCAGAAAACCAGATTCGCCTCCAGTTTTGTAAAGTCCGTATCCTTACGTTGTTGCACCACCTGAGTCGTCGGCGTCGATGTAGGGGCGTAGTACAGGTCCAACAACTGGTCTACAGGCACGTAAACCCGCTTCTTTCAGACGGTTCCTAATCGTTTGAGCTGACACTCTCCTCAAACCTGGTATTTGTGTGGCAGTCACGGTTGGTAGGGCATGCCGATTACGCAGGTGATGGACCCGGATGTACCGATCTTGAAGGGGGGTCGTGATTCTTGGCCTTCCACTTCTCGGGCGATCGTTGGTCAAATTGAAGTTGTTGTAGCGGCTCCAAAGTCGGGATATCGTTGTTTTGTGAACATTTAGGTGCCGTGCAACAGTTCCAAAACTTTCTCCGGCTTGAACACGACCAATGGCGATATTTCGGTCGGCAGCACTCAATCGTGGCATTTTTAACACAGCTTTTCGGCGACAAATGAATGAATATAATACGGAAGCACATGGGCTTTTATACACCTACATTAACTGCCATTTTCATGATTTGCATGTGTTTTTTTTGTGCGAAGTCACCATGAGGGTCATTTCATGCGTTGTGACGGAATAAGCAATAAAATACACTTATGCGTACAAATGCAGTTGTTTGGATGGTAATCTTCATTAATTACGTGTATCATTTCAATACATTCGAATAAAATTTAGTTTGGAAGCAATAACTTCATTCAAACGAATTTTTCATATCTGAGGACAGGGGTTGCGTTTCTTTTTTGACAGAGTTTATATATACATATATTAATAACAGTTTACGTGGAACAAGTATAGAAAGCAGTTTCTGTAGAACGAGTATATATTTGCTTGCAGCGTATTTGTTCAGGAAGTAGGACATATTATAGACGTGTGAGAAAAGTTGGAAATGTTGATGGCTACTACTGTCGGAAGCACTACACTGCTGCTGAGGGCAGGAATAAAGATACACTGATATAGCAGAGTCTTGTGACTGCTATATTTTACATATGAAGGGCGTCATACTGACTCACAAACCATCTCTTTGTTACCAGTTCGTTTGGCCCTGGAAGTGGACAGGTGTTCCTCTCCAACCCCTACTGTTTCGGGTATGAAACAAGCGTCTTCCAGTGCAGCAATGGCGGGTTTGGAGTCTCCGCGCCTGATTGCCAGAATCACGCCAACGATCTAGGAGTCCAGTGTTACGGAAATGGTAGGTGAAACCCAGAAGAGACATTATGGTACAAGGTATGGTGGCTACAGTAGAGGCAGAAATCGTCGTCTTAACACTATTGATGACATGATGCCGTCAAATGGCATTAGCTTTAAGAACTGGCTATTATTATTTCTGTTTGCTCCCCATTGCCAGTTTAACCTGGTCGAATTGGCCAATTGGCTGGAGAGGCTACGAGATGTATTGAGTCGATTTCGGTCTTCAGAACTATAAAACGTACACCGTGCATTCATCCATATAGTCACTTTATGAAAAGTAATTTCCATTTTGCATTCCCAGTGAAACTTGTACAAGGAACTACAAACGTAAATGCATCGACTGGCATTGTGCAGTTCTTCAAAGACAACTCTTGGCGCATCATCTGCGGCAGCGGCTTTGACAACTACGATGCGGCTGTCGTGTGTAGGGAACTTGGGTATCCTTACGGCTTTTCACTTCCCAGGGGGGCGTTTGGGGCGCGATATTATTCCTCCGCCATCAGCTACGTAAACTGTACCGGCTCAGAGAGCACAGTCGCCGACTGCGGCTTCAGAGTGGGCGGCTGCATCAACTACTACCCTTACAACAATTACGCCAGCGTCATCTGCTCTAAGCAACCTGTAACCAACGGTGAGTTGTTATGTAAGCTCTCAAAGCAATTAAAGTGTAACACACTTTGATGAAAGCGAGGAGTGGCAGGTACATACCATAGTTACACAGGTGAGTGAATTAACATAAATGAATGTGACTGACCTGATGATCTACCTTCCCTTCGGCAGATTTTGACGTAGTCCTTGGCACAACGTTCCCAACTATGGTTAGGATTCAGAAGATGGGAATAACAGCCACTGTGTGCAATAGCGGATGGGGAGACGAGGAAGCTAGGGTGGTGTGCAGATCTAACGGATACGTGTCGGGCGTGGCGTTTGGCGCCGTGGGTTACGCTTACAACACCCCTCCCAGTTTGTTGCAAACTAACTGCATCGGCAACGAGACGAGGCTTCAGGACTGCGCCGTTTCTACAAACCTTCCGTCTTCCTGCACTTCGTCATATTCAAATGCTGCGGCATACGTCTACTGCTACAACGACAATACAGGTACGTCGATATTGTTGGTGGGTGACATGCATGACAAAAAATGGTTAGAATGTTGTGATATTTCAGGTCTATTTGTTGGTGAGAGCGCATATTCTTGAAGACGTCATAACATTGTGACGTCATAACGTTATGATGAAGTTTTCATATTCATATACTGATTGAATTGTGTTTCAAATAATCTTTGTGATTGGGTGAAGAATCTTTTGATGGTGTTTCCCAGTAAATAAAAATACACGTCCAGAAAATTGGTTTGAATAATTCAAACATATAGTGACCTATAGCACACGCATTAGTTTTCTTGCCTAAAGGACACAATGTATAACGTTTGGGATTGTCTTGCATTCACCTGTCTTCCAAAATACTAAATCTTTGATACTTAGAAATATTTACAAGATGGCATGTAAAATCATGACATTATAATATTTGGTAGGGGTGAACCTCCGTCTTATGAACAACGGCCAAATATCCAACAGTGCTGGACGCGTCGAGGTCCAGATTGGCGGTGTGTGGGGCAGCGTCTGTGGTTACAGCCTCAGCTCCGGCAGCGCACGCGTCATATGTAAGACCTTAGGCTACCCCGACGGCTCAAGTCAGAGCACCAGCACATACGGCAGAGGGACTGGGCCGGTGTGGTTGTACTCTCCGTCCTGCTCAGGTACAGAGAAGGCGCTATGGAACTGCCGATCTAGTGGGTTCAACGTTACCAACAGGTACCCCTGCAGCGGGCATCGATACGACGTTGGTGTGCAGTGTTCTGGTCTAAGTAAGTACGTGTATGTGCTGTAAATCAGGCGATGTTTAATCATTCTGCTGATACAGGGCACTGTGACCTGTAGAGTTTTAGTATTATGCAGACCTGTGGAAGTTTGGTAGTTTGGGAATCAAGCAATGTTATTAGAGTCTCTCTGTTCATTCCACAGTTCGCCTCAAACCAAACAGGCAGTATGGCGCTGTTCAGGTGTACGACGGCACCAGCAGCTACCAGACAGTGTGTGCTGACAACTTCAACGACATCGACGCCAAGGTTGTGTGCAACGAGATTGGCTACCAGTACGGCGTCAGTGTCGGTGCCTCAGCCTTCGGCAGGCAGTCCTACGGTATTGGCTTCACGAACGTCCGCTGTACCGGCCGCGAGACTCGCTTCAGAGACTGCCCCCATGCCATCAGCATGACTTACTGCCCCAGTAGGAAGTACGCCTCGGCGGCCTGCTCCAACACCAACCCCCGGTCAGGTCAGTAACCACGTATTGTATTTAAGCAGTATGATGAATGACAGTATGGCTCTGGGAAATGCTACCATTATGAAGAACGCCCGGAGGATGTAGTTATATAACGTCAGCGTTAGAGACGACAGACTGGATTGCCCTCCGAAACAGATGCCACTGGGCATAGTAGTGGGCAATAGAGGGGAACATTATATCAGTGGATCACTAGGATTCAGTGATGAGATATCAAACACATCTCTTTTTAGGAGCTGAGTTTTGTATTCTTAGCCTGAGTTGCATATCATGACCTTCCCTGACGTTGCTAAGTAAGAATTAAGGGGAAATAACATCCGAGTAACTGTATCATAAAGTAAAGAGTACACAACTTCCTGGTAAATTGGGAGCCTATAAAATACACCTGAAGTTAACTATGCTGCTTTTAAACACATATAGATACCATGTATACTTAATGGCAATACACTGTTCCCCTACAGGATACACCATGACCATACAAAGCACGTACCAGGGCCGCATCACGATCCGTCACATGGGCATCAATGGCTACATTTGCCCCGACGGGTTCGACGACAGAGAGGCCATGGTGATTTGCCGAGAAAAGGGATTTACCGGCGGCTTTGCTTACACCTACTACCACCGATACTACTCCTTCTACTCTAGTTCAACAATGAGATGGTTATCTAATATCAACTGTGATGGCACAGAAACCTACCTCTCCAACTGTGCTGGCGTTAGGTTCGGCGACACTGCTAACTGTTCTTCCAGCGGGGACGCGGCCGTCTACTGCTACCAAACTAGTGGTGAGTATTAACATCAGTATGTTATGTGGAACTGGAACTATTCATATATGAAACAATGAGAGCCAAAATGGATGTACATGTGATAGGTTTTAGTGTACATACAATTATTTATTAAATAGAGTGAGTGAGTAGATTTTACGCTGCTCTTAGCAATATTCCAGCAATATCACGACGGGGGCCACCAGAAATGGCGATCGCGCATTGTACCCATTTTGGGAATCGAACCCGGGACGAGCGAGCGTTTTAACCATTGTCCTACCCCATCACCCCTTATCAAAAATAGAAAAAAGTCAATTGTTTTTCAAGACCTACATCGACGTAATAGCTTCACATTGAAGTTCTGTATTGATCATGTTTTAAAGATGTGTCTGCTCCAGACCTGTTTTCATGGGTTTCTCCAAGAGATAAAGGTTAAGAACATACATTATGAATGTACTTTTACTGTAAGCTCGTTTCAAACAGTGATGTACAGAATCATTTGTCACTATTACTATATAAAACATGAGAGCCAAAATGGATGTACGTGTGGTACTGGTAGGTTTTAGTGTACATGCAATTATATTAAATAGAGTGAGTGAGCAAGACATTACTAAAGGTCTCCAGGTGCGCCTTTCAGGAAACAAGACAGGGTCTGCAGGTCGGGTTGAGCTGAGCGTGGACGGGTCCTGGGGTACCATGTGCACATTATACTCCGGAACATACTACACAGACAAGAACGCCGATGTTATCTGCCGCATGCTCAACTACACAACAGGTCGTCACATGGGTCTGGGATCATTCGGCCCCGGCAGTGGTCCTGTCTATCTTAGTCGTCTGTACTGCCAAGGAACGGAGAGATCTATCTCACAGTGTACGTCTTTGTGGAGGCAGAGCTACTATGGCTGTTCTAACCACCAGAAGGATAACGATGTCATGTGTTACGACAACGGTGAGTGCGTTTATTGAACTGAATAAACGTTATGGGTAGTAACAGCTTTGTTATGGATGTTTTGGTCCAGGTGAACATTGTTTACTATACGTAAATGAATACACGCAGTATAAACAGAACAATTTATGGTTTTGGTTGAGCCCAATTTTGTCTTCACCCCAGTCCGTCTTATGGGAGCCGCCACCGTCAACTACGGCCGTGTCGAAGTGTACAGGAACAACCAATGGTCCGCCGTCTGTGACCACAATTTCGACAACGCTGCTGCCCGCGTTGTTTGCAGGAAACTAGGTTACGCTGACGGCAAGGCTCAGTGCTGCAACGCAGTCGGGAATGTCGACGCCTCCAGCATCACCGTCACCGTCAACGGTTGCTCTGGCTCTGAATCAGACCTCCTCAGCTGTAACCTTGCGTTTGGCAGCTGCACTACCGGCAAATACGCCACCGTCTACTGCTCCTACAACAGCATAAACGCTAACGGTAACAACTGTTACATGTCATTCCATTACAATTTGTCTCCTAACATTGGTCTTTGTGGGCCACTAGAAGGCTCTATTTCCAGAACTAAACACGTGTTTTAAGGCGGAAAACACTTTCAGGTACAGGTGCACTAATGGCGTGAAGAAAGCTGAATCCTCTTGATAGTGTTATGTTTAGAAAGCAGTTCCAGAATTGTCCATAATGAAAAGGAAGGTAATGTTTTAATCTAAGACAAGGGAAATTCGTTGTTTTAAGTGCTGATTTTTTCAAGTTCTGGTCAGGTCACTTTAAGTCACTCCTCTCATTCCTCAACTTTTCAGATTTGGTTGTCCGTCTTCGAGACAGCTCCAAGGACTATGGCTCCATTGAGGTCAATCGGTATGGATTCTGGGGACCTGTTTGCAACGTTGGCTGGAACAACAAAGACGCCGATGTTGCATGCCGCTCCATGGGATTTGTTGGTGGCGTTTCCTTCAGTGGCCAAATCTACTCATCGGCTCCCATGTTGGTTGGGAAGTTCAACTGTCAAGGTCGAGAGGGTAATTTGACCAGCTGTACCTACAGTGACCTTGACGACAAAGTTGACCTCGGTTGCAACTCCCTGACGAGTAGTTATAGACAAAGCGCTGGAGTCCTCTGCTATACCAATGAAAACGGTAAGATATATGTCTGAAACTGCAGGAAGTTCACTGTAGGAGCTGACATGGTGAACATAATATTTAATGTTGGGAGTTACCCTGATCTTGAATGTAGAATTATAAGTGCTCTGTATTGGGTAACCAGGCAGGATAAAGCCTCAGAAACATACTTATAAGACGTTTATGCTAAATGCCGAATCTATTGTAATATATAGCACATGCATGTGTGCATAAACATGAATTGATACCATGCATTCACAAGAACAGTGGCTCCGGTCGCAAACACATGCAAAAATCAGGTAATTGTTGGCACTTTTTACCTTGCATGCTTTCACTGCTGTTGCACGCAGGTTCAGTAATTTATGAGCTTCCTCTTGCATGGTGTCGTCTGCCGTACATTTGTCTCATATTAATTTCATAAAGAACGTGTCGTACCATACAACTGGCACCTTATGAACGATAATGGTCAGCGGCTCTTTGCTTTGTTTTCCAGGCGCCTCAGTGAGGTTGGCTGATGGAGGGTCGAACTACGGTCGTGTTGAGATCAACTACAATGGCGTGTGGGGCGTGTATGCGGTTGGTCCTGGAGCGATGTGGACGCTAAGGTCGTCTGCCGTCAACTTGGTTTTAAGGATGGGAGTTCGAGACCAGTAGACAGAAACAACAACACTAAAGTGTGGATGAACTATGTGAGATGCAGCGGTTCAGAAGCATCTTTGTTTGACTGCCCCAGTTATTGGAACTACAGATGGGGATGTACTAGGGACGCCGGAGTCATCTGTTATAACACAAGTATATATATTATCCCTCTTGAAAACAAATGTGACAAATAATATGAACTGTTAAAAAATGGGCTGCAAATAACAAAACGATCAGAGAGGAATAATTAAGTTCAATATATATAAAAGTACATTAAACTGAAGTTTATGCAATTATTCAATCATTTTCTTGTTGGCTGACATTCTTTTTTAACCGTGTATATGGCGGTAATGTATGAGAGAATGTTTTATGGTAAACGTGTATTTCAGTCCGACTGACGCGCGGCAACCAGATCTCCATGGGTGCGGTCGAGGTGTACTACAACACGAACTGGGGCAGCGTCTGCAGCAATGGGTGGAGCGACACTGATGTTTGTGAGTGACCGTTATTAATTAAGTACATCTATGGCATATTATGATGTCTTGCATAAAGATGAAATAGGAAAATAAAAGATTCATACAGGTATGTAGAGGTGGGGGTGGGGGAATGGGGAGGAGGATTTAAAATCAACGATTATCCTTAACAGTAACTAAAGTATTTTATCTGTGACGTAAACAGATTCATATGGACTATTAACATACTCTCTAGAAGAGAGAGTAAGTAGCTTTTGACCGTGTTGTATATGCAGTCTGTTGTATATGCAACCTGTTGTATATGCAGCCTTTTGTATATGCAGCCTGTTGTATATGCAGTCTGATGTATATGCAGTCTCTTGTATATGCAGCCTGTTGTATATGCAGCCTGTTGTATATGCAGCCTGTTGTATATGCAGTCTGATGTATATGCAGCCTGTTGTATATGCAGCCTGTTGTATAATGCAGCCTGATGTATATGCAGCCTGTTATATGCAGTTGGTACACCTTTACACGACTTGTATATGCAGTATTTGCCATTTATCTGATGTATATGCAGTCTGATGTATATGCAGCCTGTTGTATATGCAGCCTGATGTATATGCAGCCTGATGTATATGCAGCCTGATGTATATGCAGCCTGATGTATATGCAGTCTGATGTATATGCAGTCTGATGTATATGCAGCCTGTTGTATATGCAGCCTGATGTATATGCAGTCTGATGTATATGCAGCCTGCAATGTATATGCAGCCTGATGTATATGCAGCCTGATGTATATGCAGCCTGATGTATATATGCAGCCTGATGTATATGCATACATAAATGATGTATATGCAGCCTGATGTATATGCAGCCTGTTGTATATATTTATGTTAGTCTGTTGTATATGCAGCCTGTTGTATATGCAGTCTGATGTATATGCAGCATGATGTATATGCAGCCTGCTACCAGTGTATATGCAGCCTGATGTATATGCAGTTTGATGTATATATGCAGGCCTGATGTATATGCAGCCTGATGTATATGCAGCCTGTTATGCCTGCTATATGCCGCTACAGTCTGATGTATATGCAGTTTGATGTATATGCAGCCTGATGTATATGCAGCCTGATGTATATGCAGCCTGATGTATATGCAGCCTGATGTATATGCAGCCTGATGTATATGCAGCCTGATGTATATGCAGCCTGATGTATATGCAGTATCATGACGGCTGGCCCTGAAGCAACATCGTGGGCGTACACCTGACGACCCCACACATTTCCAAGAGGGATAACTGTAGCCTAATTTATGTTTATTGTTTTGCTAATATTACATGTCCTTTAGATACAGGTATTTGCCAGTTTGATAAAACCACTGCCCATTCATTGTAAGCACTATACATTCAGCCGTGGCCTGCAAGGAGCTTGGGTATCAGAATGGCTTCAACCTGTGCTGTGGAGTGTACGGGAGTCGGTCCTATACCGTGGTGGACAATGTTCAATGTGGAGGAACTGCCGCTACCAGTCAGTACATACATAAATAGGGTTACTACAACGGCACTGCCGCTACCAGTCAGTATTTATATGTTACATACATAAATAGGCCTGCTACAACGGCACTGCCGCTACCAGTCAGTATTTATATGTTACATACATAGATAGGCCTGCTACAACGGCACTGCCGCTACCAGTCAGTATTTATATGTTACATACATAAATAGGCCTACTACAACGGCACTGCCGCTACCAGTCAGTATTTATATGTTACATACATAAATAAGCCTGCTACAATAAGGGTGTATGTTCTCTCCCTGCTCTCGATTGTCTTTTGGTTTTCTTATTTCACGTAACCAAATAGGACTTGGCCACTGGATTCGTGTCCTCTTACTTTTATGTTGGTGTAATTTGAAATAACATGGACATGGCATGCAGATGTATTCGTCTTTAGTAAATTACCTAACGCAATGCTGTAACAATGCCAAGCTATGTGTACAGTGACATTTACAAGGCTTAGTGGACTTTCCAGCGCTGATCATACATCATTCTCCCCCAGAATGAATGGCCAAACAGCTGTTTTTCAATCATATGGTCAATTATAATCTGTTCTTGTGTTAAAACTTTCTAATTCCCCATTCAGCCTTCACGTGGTCGCTGGCTGACGGCAACAACTACACTGGCGAGGTGAACGTCAACTACATGAACATGGTGGGTCGTATCTGCACTGATGACTGGGACGACAAGGACGCCACCGTGGCGTGTAAAGAACTGGGGTTCACCAAGGGCAAGGCCTACACCCACTACAAATACTCCTACTACGCCGACAACGGCCCCTTCTGGACGTCTAAGATGAACTGCGCCGGCACAGAGAGCCGTCTATCAGATTGCTCCCGAACACAGCTGGGTCAAGTGGCGTCTTGTCAGAACTCCCACTCTGCTGGTGTGCTGTGCGGAGACAATGTTGGTATGTAAATGTCGACAGAGACATGTCATTATACATAGAACCATGAATGTTTATCTGGTGGTCGCATGTTCAATAACAAGCAATAATTTTCATGAAAAAGGATGTGTTCTTTTCAGTATGGAAGAAAAGAGTACAGCAAATGTTACCCGTCAGGACACTATCAGTTGAATATCCCATTATTCTCCTTTAGCATTGCAGTTCTCTACTGCGATACAACCATATGGATATGATTGTGGTGCATTTCTTCTATGCAGGTATTTACTACAGTCTCTCCGGGGGAGGCGCTGAGAACGCAGGTCGAGTGGAAGTGTCTGTCAATGGCGTGTTGGGTTCAGTATGCCGCTCCTACTTCGACAGCAGGGAGGCTACGGTCATGTGTAGAAGCCTTGGCTATAATACGGGCGTGGTAGATTACTACACCAAGTACCCCAACGCCACCGGTCCCGTGTACCAGAGTAACTTCCAGTGTACAGGCAACGAGGGATCATTGTCCGAGTGCCCACATCAGGGGTGGAAGGTAGCCACCAGTAGATACTGCTTGAACCACAACTACGACGCTGCCATCACCTGCTACGGAGACGGTGAGTTCAAATATAAATTAATTCATGTTTCTATGTATAATATACCATATGATCTACCCTCCTTATTGGCGTTGATGACCTCTGTGCTATTCTGATGAAGTGTATAATCCTAAATCTGGCCCCCGCGTTGTCTTCAGTCAAACTGGCTTCTGGATTCTCCCCGGACATCAAGCAAGGCCCTGTTCAGGTTTGGAAGAACAACACTTGGCACTACGTGTGCGACACCAACTTTGATGACCTGACCGCTAAGACTGTGTGTAGAAGTCTTGGCTTTGTTGATGGGAAGGCCTTGTGCTGCTCGGCCTATGGATCGAAATATGTCAGGTACTCCTACTACGGCAACGGCCTCGGCAGCTTCCTACCCAACACGACGATGAATTGTGACGGCACCCAGTCTGATCCGATGACGTGCCTCGCACCCGGCACCTGCTCCCAGGACTATGCATCTGTCGTCTGCTTCAACACCTCAGACAGAGTCGAAGAAAGTAAGTTACACTGGACTTTTTATCTTCTTTCTTTTTGGTTCCTGTACATCGTTAGAAATCCTTTAAATTTAGTTAAGCATAAATATATTTACGTTATTGACAAAATTTGATAATTTCAAACTAAACTTGCCCAGGACAGATGAATGTTTTATGATACAACCGTTTGTTACGCTCCATAGCCTACACACTGGGGTTTGATGACTCCACGTCGGACAGTGGTCAGATCGCTGTGCAGCACTATGACGTGAAAGTCGGATTTGCAACACGTTCTGGACCGACACGGAGGCCACGGTCTTCTGTAAAGGCCTGCACTACGACAATGGTATCGCCTACCACCACTCTGTCCAATACAACTATCAACCCCTCCGATCACGTGGTCCCTTCTGGCTCAGCGCCGTGAACTGCACCGGAAGTGAAACGTCGTTGACAGACTGCGCCTACAACGACAGGATGAGTCTTGGGAACTGCAGCTCCGCCGACATCGCTTCAGCTATCTGCTTCAACGGTGACAAAAGTAGGCATCTTCAAACAGCGATAAATGGTGATGTTTAGCTGTCCAAACCCAATCGGTGTTTTTTTCTTCGAAACTACGCAGTGCTTTGATGTCTAACTTGGTATTATAATAAGAGATCTGGAAGTAGTTTTGACATAAATACGTTTGAAAAAAGTCTACTGAATGTAGTGACTGTTCTAATTTTTATGATTGCAGAAATTGGTTATGGTTACCAACTTCAAACAGTTCACTGACGTTTTGTTCGCGCTTAGATAAAATACCACCAAGAGTCGTAATATTTAGTTTATATACTAGACATTCCTTGGGTATATTCTTGGACTTCTAGCAAAGATTTTACATTATCAGACTAATTGTGTGTATACCTTTAAAATGGAGCATTAAAACAGTAAGGTTTTAAAACACAGTAAGGTTTTAAAAGACCTTCATTAAACATCAAGATTACAGTATTTGCAATTACTTTTGTATCACCTGTTCATACATCTCTCAACAAGGACAATGCCTCTCAATAATTTAATCTTTGTCAAGCTTCACCTTGTGTGTCCATTACTTGACGAAGATGATGACCAGTGTGTCGAAATGTAAGATTGGTTATTGCCCTCCGTGTTAATATTGCTGTCAAAATAGCACATCATTCACTCGCTATCTAATTCTAAATTCAAAATGATCCTTACATTTCTCTAAAAACACAAATTCTGATTTGTCAATAAAATGGAGAAGTGTAGATAATTTTCGGGTTGTACAGTGAGTGAGTTAAAATGTGTTCCCGTCATTCAGGATACGATTACAATTCATCAGCCATGAATTAATCATCGTCCTTTTGCTACACCCAAAACTTTGTTACTGAACCCTCCTCCAGGTATCCAGTACCGCATGGTGGCGCCCGATGGTACACAGCAGAACTACGGTCGGGTGGAGATGTCTGTGGGCGGTGTGTGGGGAACAGTCTGCGACAGGTACTTTGACAACCGCGAGGCCGGCGTCTTCTGTCGGCAGAAGGGATACAAGGACGGCTACGCCATCCCAAACGCCTTCTACGGCCAGGGAAGTGGCCCCATGTGGCTGAGTGGCCTCCAGTGTGTCGGCACCGAACCCAGTCTTCACAGCTGTCCCCACTCTGGCTACAACAGCGAGGTCGTCTCCGGCTACAGCTACTGGTCGTGCCAGAGTCATCGCGATGACGTCTCCGTTTTCTGTGTCGACAATGGTGAGCACACACAGTACATTTTCCCTTGATCACTGCACCAAGAATGTGGACAAATGCATCTGTTAAACACATATTACAGGATGTAAATGCCAATGAGTTTATCAATGAATTGCAATAATCTATGCTTATGAATCCCAATCATGAATGACTCCTGAAGTAATAATTAGTGGTTGATATTATGATCAATGTCCGCCGCTGCCGAGATACGATGGGATACTACCAGCCAGGTCACCCAGTCTAACATCTCATCTAATATGTTCATGTGTTGCCACAAGTAGTGTCAGGGAATCTCTTCCAACCTGATCCCAACTGTGAGTTCATGTCCGTTGTTGAGTTGCTCATGGCATCACACTATTGCAACCCTCGGCGTCTGTGAATATATTCTACTCAGATTGGATCACTTAGTCGTAAACATCTGTTCAAGGGTTTCGGACGCGATTTCTCTATAGTGCCGTCGCGTCAGACAGACCAATTGTGGCTATTGCGCAGCCAGCTGTATCTGAAATGCAAAGGACTTTTGTCACGTGCAGATGGTAAGGTTATAACACTGTCTACAATAATCATGCCCTCATGTTCAATCTTATATTTCCAGTGAGGCTCAACACCGGCCTCAACTCCTCCATGGGCGCTGTTGAGGTGTACGCCAACAACAAATGGAACGCCGTGTGCGACAGTGGCTTTGACGGGAACGCCGCTCGGGTGGTCTGTAGGACAATGGGCTTCACCTTTGGCGTCAACATTGGTGGTTCTCTGTTCGGCATCACCGACGGGCCGATCGCCATTAGCCAGGTGACGTGCAATGGTCGGGAGGCCAACTTCAAACAGTGTTCAACAACATCATCAACAAGCTGCAAAAGTGGCACCTACGCCTCTGTGGTGTGTTCCAGCGACCCCATAACTGATAGTGGTACGTGTTTAGCGTCTTCCAGAAGACATGACATGATTAACTCTAATAATGTATAAGTGATAGTTTTCAGAAAACAATTACGAGATGATTGGTAAGATGCATAGATAAAATTAGTCACCATTTCTATTTTGTCTGTTGAAGTGTTTAAAAAAACCCAGTAAACGCGAAATCTTGATGAATGTAGTCCAATTTTTTGCCCAAATGAAGACCTTAAACTGGTGTTTACTTCTATGTGTCTTTTGCATGTTGCAACCACTAGGCTTCCTTCCTCGGCTCGTTGCTGACGACATAGTTGACGACACCCACGGGTTTCTGGAAGTAAGAATCAACGGCATCTGGGGCAGCGTCTGCGGCTCCGGCTTCGACGACCGTGCAGCTAACATCGCCTGTAAACAGTTGAACTTCAAAGGTGGCGTTGCCTACTCGCCCGCCATATACAACCCCTTCCACAGTACAGGTCAGCATATCATCAGCGAGAAACGCCCCATCTTGATGACCGACGTGGTCTGCAATGGCAATGAGGACAGTCTGGCAAAGTGTGCCTACAAGTCCCGCAGCACCACCAAGTGGTGTGACTACTACGCCCCGAGAGCTGGACTGCTTTGTTACAGGAACTCAGGTAGGTCATAGCTGGGGCTTCTCTTGAATCTTCGTATAATCAGAAACGTGGTATACGGATGTCCTGATACATTAGGGGCGGTGGGGTAGCCTAATGGTTAAAGCGTTGGCTCGTCACACCGAAGACCCGCGTTCGAATCCCCACATGGATACAATGAGTGAAGCCCATTTCTGGTGTCCCCCGCCGTGATACTGCTTGAATATTGCTAAAAGCGGCGTAAAACCAAACTCAGTCAGTCAGTCAGTCGTATAATCAGAAACGTCATATGTGGATAACATTTGTTTTAGAACATGTAAGAGGACTACACTATGTAGGGTGATCATGTGAGATTTTGCGGGTTATATCTTTAAGTTGACATGTTGCAGTCCGATAAAAAGAGGAAACTATGACATACGGGTAGTGGGATGTTTGTGAGAGATGTGGACAGTGTGTATTAAGATTCCATTAAACTTCACAATAGCCAACAGTACACATTCTGTTTCGACTGAATGGTTCGAACATTTCTTACATGCAAGACAGGTCTGAGAATGATGATATTTCCTAAAAATCACTGAAATTAAAGAAATAATGATTTGGTTTAGTCAGGTTATCCATACCAGGTGTTTCAGAGTACGTGAGCCTAGTGTTCTGGTGTTACTTCGTGGTGACGTGTACAACAATACACATACTTACGTTTTATGTATGAGCTTTATAATTGCAGGAATACAGTATCGCTTGGTGAGCGCTGCAGGTGACAGTCCTCTGCAAGGCCGTATTGAAATGAAGTATGACAACCAATGGGGCACCATCTGTGACGCGTCCGTCTCCTCCAACACAGCCAAGGTGGCCTGCAAGAGTCTCGGCCACGTGGATGGACTCCCAGTGTCCAGTGCCGGCTACAAAGTCGCCAATGACAACAGGCCGATATGGTTCCATTACTTTAAATGCTATGGAAATGAGACTACTCTCCCTACCTGCATGAACGACGGCTTCGATTCGTCCCTGTCAGTCTACAGCTACTGGTGGTCGTATTATTGTAAAAACATTGGACCGTCATCCGCCAAGTGCTATAACAAGGAGATCAGTAAGTATCCTCACAAACATTCTAAGTCACACATACCAGATCAAGAGGGCACTTGCACTTCACTTTCTGCCTTTGATTATAATCCGAATGAATGTTATTTTGCTAAAACCTTCTAGAATACTAGCAATATCTGGATGTCTTGGTTGTGATCAAACGACATCAGAGGATAAACAAACTTGAGCAAGGACCCACCTAGGGGCACCTGTCACATGATCCGTCCGGGAACAAACGGGAACTTCTATACTGGGCCTGTATGGCCATGTGACACAACTGCGAAATTCATATAAACAGCTTTTATGTCAGAGACTTTATAACATCCAGATCTGATTGATTATCTTCCATCCCTCAGAGGTAACAAACGTACGTCTTGTTGACGGCTCAACCAACAACACTGGGAGGGTGGAAGTATTCCTTCAGGGACCAGACAAATGGGGCACCGTCTGTGACGACTTATGGGATGACAGAGACGCCACCGTTGTGTGCATGATGTTTGGATATGCCAAGGGCAAGGCCATAACCAAAGCCCTTTACGGCCAGGGTAAGGGGCCGATCTGGATGGACAATCTTGGCTGCAGGGGGAATGAATCTCACCTACAGGACTGTCCATTTAATGGTTTTGCGATACAGAACTGTCGCCACACGGAGGATGCCGGTGTAGAGTGTTCAGGTAAGCATGGATGACCAGACACCCAACTTGAAATTTGAACAGACAGTAGAAACCGGATGCTCCATAGGGCTCATCTTCTGCTTGAAGTTTATGTATTAGCCATTGTTTTGCAGTGGAATGAAAACAAACAAAAATTCTAAAAGTAACCCAAATTTTATTTTCCCACAATCGTCGATTAATGCAAGACACTGCACGGAAGCTGCAGTGTTTTACTAAGGTCCGATTATGACCGAATAATCTAACAGACGTCTAAATATCAAACACACAGATGTTCATTCGATTCTAACCAGCTTACTAACTAAACACTCAACACCAACACTCTATGATTCTAAGTTTAACACACCAATACACTCGTGTAGGATCACGAAATATGTTTATATAATAGAAACATGCATGAAAATCTCGTACAGATGTCCAACCGCAAAGCGTTGTGTGTTCGCGTGTTCAACAAATTGTCCGAGAACAAAAACATCCATAACATAACTGAACATGTCCCAAAACGCACCTGTTATATAACGTCCACCGAGACAACGTGCATCTGGTAATTATCCCTCGAAGCAGATTACGTTTTTAAGAGTTTCGAATATTCCATGAACTGTTCTTCAGTCCAGCCATACTGGTTTCATTCTCTATTACTTGGCGAATACTACTTTTCTTGTGGCAATGACTACATCTTATCCAGATGTGTAGCAATAGTATTTTCAGCCAGTCGATTATTACTTCCTCGCTGTAAATGTCCACTAACCCTCCTCCATGGCTACCTATTTTGTATAGAATATGGTGTTACCTGTGGTGCCCCCAGGACATAGTATGTCTACCTATTGTGTATCACTTTACCTATGATTCCCCCTTCCCCCAGAGCAAAACGTTTCTACCCTTTTTGTAACACTTTACCTTTGTTTCCTCCGTCCCCAGGAGTCCTAACAACGACTCCAAGCGTTCCGGTGGGAGGTCCAGTTACTCAGAAAATCTCCAACAACTCGCCCCCAGCAGCCGCCATTGCCGCCCCTATCGTCTGCGCTCTGGTCATCGCCGCTGCCGTCTGTGGCTTCCTGTACTACAGACGCCGGTACAAAAACAAGGACAACCTGACCAAGGGACTTGTGCCTGACATCCCAGCCAGTACCTCGAGGGGGGGATTCGGAGTGTCACTCGGGGGAGCCTCCGCCTTCTTTTCCAAGTCTACTAATGATGCAGATGTATCTGGAGTGAGCAATCCCAATTATGACAATGTTTCACCCGACGGATCTGATATGACACATGCAGATGCAAGCAATGCATAACATTTTCGTTATCCTATTGGTTAACTCGTCGAGACGAAGACCGGGTTCCATTCCCCCACATGGATACAATTTGTGATACCCATTTCTGGTGTCCTCCGGCTTGATATTGCTGGAATATAGCTCACTCACTCACTCACTCACTCACTCACTCTCTAAGAATTTGGTAATATGCCAACGGGTTCAGACATACCCAGGGGAGAACGAAGTTGTTGATGGATGTGTTGGAGCTGTGTGATGTACATGGTTAGAGCATATAACATCTATTTTGACCATTAATGAAATACCTTTACACCAGCACTATTTCTTTGTTCATGAGACTTTTGTACACATATGTTTTCTTAATCATTTTGCCACGATGTATTTCATGCAATTTTGATTGAGACTATACGGCAAATGAATGGTATATTACACTTTAAATTTTAGAATTATATCTGAGATATTTCTCCACATCTTGATGAAATATTGTTTAATGTATATATGTATTTGTAAATTTATATAAAATATATATTTGAACGACTTTATGAATGGTAATAATTTATATTTCCATAATTCATTTCAAATAATGTTGTTTGTGTTGTTTAATTATTTAATAAACTAATTTGATCTCTTTTTCTGCTTGCTTGTTGGTAACATTGATGCTGTGCTTAAACCCTGTATTTTAGGCTGACACATTGTTGGGTTATGCAATAGTACAGAAGTAAATTCTCACGGCTGTAAGTGACGTTTTGTTCATAGAGCAACTAGGTATGCATCTCAGGCATATCGGTCGTAGTAGTTGTGGTCTGAATAGCAATACGTAACATACCTATTACTAAGGTCAAGGTTGTTCCCCAGTATTTGGCGACTTGGACAGGTGTGTACCAATCCCCAAAACTATCAAACAAGCATTCTGTTACAATGTAGTCAAATGTTTTGCTCAAGTTATAGGTATCCAACAATTACGAAAGCAGCTTCAGTGATGATGCAGGATAGGATCGAAAATGAGTGCTTGGATAATTACTGGGTAATGCTGTATTTTCTCAGTATCTGTATGTATAATATCGTCTAAAAGAATGAAAGCGAACGATGACAGCCTGATCCTAATACTATATTAACAGAAACATGTTAAACGACAGTAGAGTTAGTTAACAATATTGCATTGAATTATATGAGCACCTTGAATACAAGTCGGAATAAGTCAAATTCAAGTGTGAGTGAGTGAGTGAGATTAGTGTTACGCCGCACTCGGCGATATTCCAGCTGTATGGCGGCAATCTGTAAAATCCAGTGATCAACAACATGGAAATTCACAATGTAAAGTACTTAAATATTTAATATCCACTAATTATATTTTGGTGTACGGAACTGGAACTGAATATATTTAAGTTTCTTTAAGATACTGCAGTGCTAAAGAATTAAGGAAACATTAACATTGGCGCCTATATATTTTATAATGTCACTGTATTTTACACCGTTTGATGCGCACGTACAATCTAAACCTAGTTGTCTTCAGATTTCATCAGATTTTCTTCGGGTTTGGGATAGACGGTCGATTTGTGTCCGGCGATGAAATACTAAGGGTGAATTCAACCCAACAAAACTACTAGAATCTGCACTTAACGGAGAAAGTGTAATCCCAAATATAACATGCACAGGCGAAGGAACCGGGGGGTCAGTTTTTCGGGGTAATAATAATCTGATTATGATTACAGCGTCCGGTGAGCTACTAGTCAGATGGATACTAGGCGCTATATAAATGAATTATTATATTATTATATATTTTACGTCATCATACTAACCCTGTAGTGTCCACTATAAGAAATATGCTTTGGAAAATTCAGACGAAAGTTCTAAAACTGTGTTACAATATCTCTTTTAGTCATATTTGAACACCTCCACAACGTTTTTGAAAATATCTGTACAATTAAGGGATTTACTAAATGTATCATATATACTAATGGGAGTAAGGATACTGTGTATCACATATGATACAATATCATATAAGATCATAGTTGTTTAAACAACTGTTTTATTAACTCAATTTGCACGCAGCAAATTAAAGCTACTTTGGGAAAATTAAGCTCAGCTGAGTAGAGACGTAAGTGTTTGACTGTCGGTACGATATCGTAAAGTTTAAACTAAAGGGCCCTGATTATCGGAAGTGAGTGAGTTGAATTTTATCATCGGCAGTATTTCAACCATATCGTGACTAGAAAAGATATACATACGTAATAAGTACATATAGTTAATATAGAATCCTGTCATCGAAGGACAGTAAATAACTAGGTTATCACATCTGTTTACAATCACTCTACGCCATGAGCTACAACATGTCCACCATGTGAACCAACCGCCTTAACAAAACTTATTTTTTCTGAAGCACTTGTATGTACTGAAAATGAAATCGAATGTTAACACTGAAAATATCACTATATGTTTTTCAGTATATTCGTGGAGGTGACACGGATTTCGATAGAAGTTAAGCGTCATTTTTCACCCAAGGAAATCGATCCAATGATGGCTTAAAATATCTTCAAATATCAAATGAAAGCTGAAGGGAAGGTATTGGGGTTACAATGATGTCATTTCCACCTGAATATCATGGAAAGTGTATTGATTATGAAATGTTTAGCTAATGTTAATCAGCAGTCATTTGTGACCAACTTGAGTTATTCCGCGACAGGCCGAATAGCGATTTCTCACCCTCTAGATGGATTATATATTGATGTTTTAAGACGAGAACTACTTCGAACAAGAACGATATATAATAGTCATACACGTCCCAGAAGCACACGCACATTACTGTTTTTTAAAGATTTGAACCTATTTGAAAAAATACTACTGATAAGAAAAGGATATTTTGTTGAAAAAACACATTCTATTCAACGATTCTCGATCTGCTGCTTGTTATATTTCCAAATGTATATTTCTAAATATGGTTTTAAAGTTTATAAAGAGGAAAATATGCGCAAATTAACTTCTTCAAATTTCCCTGACATTTGGGAACCATAATGTTTCCTTGAATAGTTAGTTAGATTCATACTTTTAATCATATGCTTTTTATGACCAGATGTAAAGACAATAATACTGTTTGGTATTCCACTATTATAAACCTATTTAAGTTGTTTCAGGCTTTTTTCAACTGACTTTAAAAAGAAAATAATCATTGTTTTAAATATAATTATTCAATAACAAATCAACAGTGAGACAACTGAAGACACTGAGCATCAAGGTCACTCTATGTGGGACTTCATGTTTGATTATTTCAATCTAGAACGTTTTTCATTTGATAAAAGTGCAAAGATAAAATCTTGGTCAGTTGGTGTAATTGTCCCCAATCATAAACAGGGTGATATAAATAGTATGAATAATTATAGAGGGATTACCCTCCTCAGCATATTTAGTAGAATATTTACTTATATCATCAATAAAAGAATAGTTCTATGAGCAGATACTCTGGATAAAATAAATGAAGAACATGCGGATTCAGATATTGATTCTCAACAGTTGATAATATTTTAATTCTCCAAACAATTGTAAAAAATATTTACGTACTAAAGGTGGTAAATTTTATGCTCTCTTTGCAGATTTCTCGAAAGCATTTGACTCTGTAAATAGAAATAAACTATGGAATCTTTTACGAATGTATGGTTTGAGTAGGAAAATGAATCAACTTGTATGCAGTATTTATGAAAATGTAAAAGTGTGTGTAAGAAATAATAACGACGTCTCAAAAACGTTTACAAGCCAGTTAGGAGTAAGACAGGGTTGTATTTTTAAGTCCTTTTCTGTTTAGTTTCTTCATAAATGAATTAGCAACTCAAATTCATGAAAATTGCAATCATGGCATCCAACTACATCTTGATATTACGCAGCTGTTTCTCCTTTTATTTGCTGATGATATCATATTATTTTCCAGTACTGTTAATGATTTGCAGAGACAAATTGATGAATTAGAGGACTATTGTGATAATTGGAAACTAAGTGTAAACAAAGATCAAACGAAAGTTGTAGTTTTTAAAAAAGATGGTAAAATATCGGGTAAAGAAAAAAAAAATTCACAGAACTTCTAAAAATAACATCGTTCTATAAATATTTAGGTGTTCACTTCACCAAAACCCTCTCATGGAATAGACACATTAAACAGGCAGCCATACAAGCTCAGGTTTTTTTTTTTAATTTGTATCTATAAGCAGTTAAATGCTTTAGTAAATGTTTCATTTACGCCGCTTTTTAAAATATTTGATGTTACAATAAGCTCAATACTACTGGATGAATCTGGGTCTTACAACATTTTGATGTAATAGAAAAAGTTCATGTATATGTCTGTAAAAGATTTCTTGGCGTTAAGACAAGTACGTCTAGTGTTATGGTGTATGGTGAATGTGGTAGAGTACCTATGCACATATTCGCTCAAGTTAAGGCTATCAAATACTGGTTAAGATTCTTAAACATGCCTCCACATAGGTTTCCCAAAATGTGTTACAATATGATGATAGTTTATGACAATAATGGAAAAAATAATTGGGAAACGAATATAAAAACATTGTTGTTCAAAACTGGTTTTGGTAACGCATGGTATGAACAAAACGTTAGCTGCTACCCTAATTTTATCATGTCACTGACTCAATTTATTTATGTGCAGACATAGTTTGAATCTCTGACTCTATCAAACAAATGTTTTTATTATAAACTTTTTAAAGCGAAATAAGTTTGGAGTTGTACCTCTCTAAGATAACAGTAGAGTAGTTCCGAGTTGCATTATAACGTTTTCGATGTTCATCTCATGATTTATGTATAGACACTGGACGCAATACTTATAATAATCGACAGGAGAGACTATGCCAACTACGTGATTTAAATACTGTCGAGGATGAGTACCATTTCCTTCTTGTTTGTGCGCTGTACTCAGATCTTAAAAGAAAATATTTACCAAATCATTTTTTTAGATATCCAAACGTTATTAGATTTATATCATTACTAGCAAGTACAAACATTTTAATACTTCAGAATTTGTCAATGATTATATTCCATGCAACATTACAAAGAAAGAAAAATAATAACATTTGAAAAAATGTAAAAAATGTTACTAGTCGTGCGATATAAATGTATGCATGTTTTATGTACTATAGGCCTGTGGCCTCTTCAGTACGGAATAAAGGCTAACGGTTGACATGAGCATGGCAACTAGGTGTATGCAATAAAAACAACATTTGTTTGAAACCATGGACATAAAGGTTCATAAACGTTTGAAGCGTCAATTTAAAAAATAAGTTATGAATGAAAAGGAATCTATTTACGTCATCATATTAATGTAAATCAAAAATGTTGAGATCAGGGGACATCCTCTTGCTCTTCGACATGCATTTGGTTATTGGATATAACTTATATGTTGATCACTTTATTATGTTGGTCTTTTTTATTGAATGCTAGTCCCAAGCATAGGGAGTATAAATTATCATAACACAATTCATAAAGGGATTATTGAAAGCGGAAAAAAAAAGACGTGGACGGAATGGACTTGTGACTGAAGTTACCTTTTCTGGTTGGACAAATATCAACTCACTACATATTTACTAGATAAATATACCGCAGGAGCGGACACTGTTTCAAAAGTGATGCGCCACTTCATCTGATCCGAGTGAGTGAGTGAGTGAGTTCCAGCTATATGACGGCGGTCTGTAAATAATCGACTAACGGGATCGGGTGGTCAGACTCGCTGACTTGGTTGACACGTCATCGGTTCCCAATTGCGCAGATCGATGCTCATGCTGTTGATCACTGGAACGTCTGGTCCAGACTCGATTATTTACAGACCGACGCCACATAGCTGGAATATTGCAGAGTGCGGCGTAAAACAAAACAAAACTCACTTCGGCCGTATAGGAGCCGTGCCAAATTACACTTACCAGAGGGGTACACAAAGTTCCTGCTCTAGACTACCAATTGTCTAGACTACCAGTTGTCCGACTTCCATTTTTGTGCAAGCCGTGGTGACTGAGTGGGTTAGACGGCTGACTTTGTGTGTTGGCGATTAGGTGCCTGACTGAGGGTGTGGGTTCGAATCCCGCATGGACTCAACCCAACAAAAGTACTAGAATTTGTACTTTATTGAGAAAGTGTTATCCCAAATATAGCATGTTTTACATATGACCTCTTTCCAAAAAAGAATGAAATTGTTAGTCAGTTCCATGCCTGTTAAAAAAAAACCCAACAAAATACCCCTAACTGTATCCCAGGTTAAAACGGGTGGGTCAAAATCGACGATTACAAAAATATAACATGTCTATAAGAAATAGTCTCGAAATCTATCGCTATGTATGGTCCCACAGCCCCTTACACGGAATAGTACACATAAAATTATCATAAATATTTCTGTATTTTCATGGCTATTAACATGGTAGATTAGAGTTATTTCCCTTTATTGATCTTCCTTGAAGAGATATGAAAACGGTGTTTCCTACTACCCACAATGCAAAGAGATATGGTCTCTCCGAAGATGATGTCATCTCCGTAGAAAGTAATTGTTGTCAATGAGTGCTTTCTGGCGTACTAATTAGTATATTTATTGGTTCCCATTGCATTTGCAATACCCTTTAGTGTAATCGAAGTTATTAGCCGTGCGTTGCTAGCCTCCAAGGAGGAGCATCACACCTGTTGGAAATCTCCGAAGATGACGTCACAGACGTGAATACCCACATCTCAAGACGATCATAGAAGGGGACAAATATCATCAACAAACCATAGATAATATCGAGTAATTACCATCGTTACACCATCCATTTTGTGATGGATAGCGATGAAGATTTCTTCCAGGATGACCCGGAATCCGAGAGTTCAGAATATGATGATCTGCCCATGGAAATGGAGAACGCAGAGTCATCCGCTCAGGAAAAACAAGAAGAAGAGGATTTCCAATATGAAGTTTTGACCGCTGATCAAATTGTGCAGTATATGGTCGACTGTATAAAGGAAGTGAACTCAGTAGTTCAGGTACTGACAAGACCAATGCATGTTGATATTTTGACAATTTTAGGAATTTACGCCAAATTCACCCCTGTCAGCAGGATCATAATCTAAAAATAGATTGTTCCTGTGACTGTAAACCATTGTGCATTTCACAGAATTTTAATCATTTGCATTGCTACAATATTCCATAGTTTACACACTGTGTAGTTAGAGTTGTGGGATTAATGTATGTAAGTGTTTGCAGAAATTCACAGGGATCTTAGTTTACAGTATATGAACGATGTGGAAACGAAATTTATGATTTTGCTATGTTGGACATTGCAAACATTGCTAACAATCCCAACAATCTTGCTGTAAGCTTTTATGTAGGTGATTACAGTGGTGTTCAGAAATGCACTGTAAAGCTTGTCAAGATGGGCTTATTCCTCTGTGGTAATTTTGACAGAACTTTTCATCATGTTCCTGATAATATTTCTTGTTTACGTTGATACTTGTAACTCGTTGCACAAGGCGTTTAGCATTACAATTCTTTATTGGTAGATCATGTACTTCGTCAAATTTGGAAAATTTGTATGTTGCAAGCGGAAAACTATTATTTGGCTTAATTATAATGTCAGTTGTGTGAAATAATATATGAAATAAACAGTAGTGTTGTACATATTGTATGGCATTACACATTATTTTCTAATGGACCTATAGGAATCTACATGAGCTGTGTAGGGACTTTTCATTAACCATGTCATAAATTACTTCAAGTGGTAGCTGCCCAAACCTTTTTTCTTTTCTGCTATTAGCAGGATAATTGGGAATAAGTTTAAGTTCTGTCATGATCCATCCTATCTACATACACGCTCAAAGCACTTTGTTCTTTCTGTCGATCATTGGATGTCAATCTCAACAGCACATCATATTTTCAATCTCAAATCCCCGGGGGATCATACGACTTGTGCAGCCATTAGACGCACCAAGTTAATATGGCTTTCCGATCCTTACGAGGTACCCATTCACAGCTGGGTGGACTGGGACAAATAGTCACAGTACTTTGTCTGAGTTTTACTGCACATTGCTGTACCCGCAACTACATGTTTGCACATATTCATGTGGCCACCATCTGGTCATTTACCAATGGATTCGTGGGTTCTTTTAAGTGTACAGGGTTGTGTACTGTACACTTGGGGTTGTGACAACACGTTCACAGTCATAGTGTAAACATGTTGTGTATTCATATTCAAATGGTTCTTTCATCCATTATTGATATTATTTATCTTGTTTTTTTCTGTATGATTATTTTCTTTGTGATAAAGAAGATAGTTGGCAGCCCAGTGGTCCAACACACCAGATGTTGCACTCAATTTGTTTCAGCTCAGCTGAACCTCGGTTAATACTGACAGATATCAATAGTTTTATGCATGGACTATTGCATAACACACTTCAGAGCCTGTGTATCACATACATATGACTGGTCAGGTTATTTCAGACAGACAGACAAATTTATGCAGGTTTTTTCCATGTGCTCTTCTGCTAATCAGAGTGTAATCTTTCTGCAAAAACAACTATCATGTTATACAAACTATATACAGAGGTGTCTTGTATACACTATGACTACTCCATTGCTGCCTTAGGTATTACATTAGGAGCAGAATAGGGCAAGTTGTACTGCATGGAATATGAAACATAAGTGATCCTTGACTGTGATTCTTAGCCAGTCCACCGATATTGCAAACCAGTTTTGGAAACTGGCACTAATCTTGTAACATTGTCTTGGGGTATTACAATGCATTTGATTCATCATATTCATATATTAATGCATGTTAATGGGATGATGCTATCTTATGCCTGAAATAATGCACACTGACATAAAACCAGACGTAAACCCTCTTCCTATGTCCATTCATGGTTTACATTGGGTTAACCATATATATTATATTGGTTTTCTATGCTTTTTTTCAGATACCAGCAACAATTACAAGGATCTTGTTAAACCACTTCAGGTGGGACAAGGAGAAATTGATGGAAAGGTGAAAAAACCCATAAATAACAATTGTTACTTGTATAATGCAGCAAATACTGCTTTTTTCCAATGTTAAGTCATTGTCATTATCAGTAAAGTTGACTGTTCAACTATTTTGCATAACAATTAGTATGTTTAGTAAGGAAAAAAGAAATGCTAATATTGTATTTTACCCTGTTGACATTATTGATAACATTTTGGTTTCCATTATATTTTGTCCATCTTAACCTGGGTAAAAATAACAAGTCTAAATGCCCCTGTAGCAGTGAATTACTAGTTAAGCATGTTAAGTGTCAGTGTTCATAAGTTTGTATCAATACAGAACATATCTGATTATATATGTATGAGATATGTTTGAATATTGAAAATTTTCCTATTTCATTTCCTCTCAGATACTATGATGGGGATCAAGAAGGTTTGTTCTCTGAAGCTCATGTCATCAACCCTCACAAGAGAGAATCCCGTAGCAAAGACTCAAAGGTGATCTTTCACATAGCTGAGTCACTTAGAGGCTGCACTGGCCTTCAGGATAGTTTGACATGTACATTCCAATGAGTGTGAAAATCTTATACTCTGTCTGGTTTGATCCAACTTGGACAGCCTCCTTGGTGTAGTCATTTGAGCAACCACTCATAGAGCGGAAGGTCGCGGGTTCGATCCCTGGCTGCGTCATACCAAAAGACGTTAAAATATGGTACTTGTTGGTCCCTGCCTGGCGCTCGGCATTAATGGATCGACCCCATTTCACCTCACCTAACCTCAACTTACCTAGATCCAACTTGAACTTAACCTGCATTGTATTGGCAGTTGTAATTGCCACACTTGTCAAAGTAACATCACATTTCATTTGTACAATGTAACAACCACCACATTTCATGTTACGAAATACTGCACTGTTGTTTCAGTACAGCAAATATTTTCTTAAAACTCTGCCAACAGTAGTGAATTTTGTTGCTGTGATTCCAGAGGACAACACGGTCTGCTGCAGCTGCTGTGGAAGATGAGTGTTGTGAGATCTGTTGTGTGGATCAGAAACCAGGTGTAAGTTCACACAATATTCTGTTGGGTTTTCACTACCCTCTATAGCATTTACCTCAGCTAGATATTCTCTAATCTTTTCAAGTAACCTCTGTGCAAAATATATCCTTGTTGATCAGCTGGGGCGGTGATGTAGCCTAGTGGTTAAAGCGTTCACTCGTCATGCCGAAGACCCGGGTTCGATTCCCCACATGGGTACAATGTGTGGAGCCCATTTCTGGTGTCCCCCACCGTGATATTGCTGGAATATTGCTTAAAGTGGCATAAAACCATAATCACTCACTCACTCACTTGTTGATCAGCTTGAACTTGTCTTACAAATACTTATCAAAAGAAATTTGGGACGACTCAATTCTTTCATTTGCTTTAGTTAACTTGCCAAAATGAAGGATCTTATTTTAGAATTAAGGGACATGGATTTCTTAAAAATTGTTGCCCTTGTTGATTCAAGTGACTAGGTTGTTAAAAGTGACATCTGCTTCTGTGAGACTACAATTCAGGAAGGACTAGTAGTGTTTCCTTCTGGACTGCTGGAGGCACCATGATTAGGGTTAGCTTAAGGGTAGCTCTGTAGAACACCATGTTTACAATTAGTGCAAATTAAAGTTACATATTTACTGTGTAAGAACATATCCAATGTACCTAAGTTCAGCGTTGAGATTAAACATCTTAAATATTGAACATTTAAAACAGGAGGAGATGACAGGGCTGGAGTGTGGCCATCGGTTCTGTACAACATGCTGGGCAGATTACCTCACTGCCAAGATCATGGATGAGGGCATGGGACAGACCATCACATGTGCTGCCTACGGTTGTGATATTCTCGTAGATGATGCTACTGTAATGTAAGTACCAAATTTAACCTCATTAATACATACCTTTGGGACTTAATCACATGATACCATATTGATATACTTATGGTTATACAAATCCTTTGTTATGTACTCTCTCACTTACTAAGGTCTGTTCTGTTTTTCTCAAACCTGTATATCATTTCAGGAACTTCTTCTCACATTGCGATAACTGGAATACTGTTCAAAGATATGATGAACCTAACACCGAGACTCAGTCGCTATTTTTAGTTCTCTTGATGTAGATCTTTTTTTACTGTGATTGTATTGTGAAATACTTTTCAAGTTTGTTCTATAGATAATATTCCTCATATGTGAACATACCAGGCAAACTACAGAGACAGACCATAGTTTATTAATTCAGAAAGAAGTCATGCGTAACTGAGTTGTATACATATGTATATCTTGATTGTTTTGCAGGTCACTCATTAGCGATGCCAAAGTCAAGTTAAAATATCAACTCATTATAACAAATAGTTTTGTAGAGGTAAGTCTCATCTTGGTTTTGACCACGCTGTGGCAGTAATGCAAGTGTGGGCGAAACTGGGTTTTTTTCTCAATAAAATGGAATCATTATGAGATAATGGATGGAATGTGTTCATTCTCTATAGCACTCTAGTCATGATGTTCAAAGATCTGTAGGGAATTGATTACCATACCATGATAACTTGATAGAGATATACATTAAACGAGGAAATCACTTCAGAAAGTTCTTTTAATACTGGTACATAATACTGAAGAGTTGCTATATATTTATCAGGTACCATGTACATGATATATGAGTAGGGAAGTGTTACTGCCTACTGTTACTATATTTACAGACAACCCTTCATTACTAGCAGTGGCAGTTGATGTTATGTTTCAATGTGTTGACAGGTATGTTTCATATTTGTCCTATTTGTGTTCTAGTGTAATAGGTTACTACGATGGTGCCCAGCACCGGACTGTGGACACGTAGTCAAAGTGGGCTACTTTGACAACAAGCCAGTCACCTGTATCTGCAGTCACACATTCTGGTTTGTGTATATTAACACATTTGTCTGCTTTATATATTTTTATCCCCCTGGCATGCAGTGTATGAAATAAAGCTTGTCTGACCGCCCAAGATGGGCTAGATTTCTGAAGGACGGTCTAAATTTACAGCTATCCAGCCCGATGATCTGGTAATTTTTTTGTAGATATTATATACATCTGAGTAAGTTCACCATATCTTGGTGTCTGGTCTGGTTAAATCCATTTTGGGCTGGTAACATTTTGAAGTTTCCAGCCCTGATGTCTTGATGGGATTTTGGCTTATTTCATACACTGTGGCATGTAATGTTCGAAAACAGTTCAATATTTTTCAACAAAAATTGCTAGATATATCAAACAGAACCAACAGTGGTGCATTTTGCTTTTTACAGATTTTTGTCATTTTTAATTTTCTTTGTTTCCATGGAAACGTTTTGGACTTAGTCTCACAAGGGAGGGGTTGACTCGAAAACCGTTCAATATCTTTCAACAAAAGTGTGTATATATATTAAACAGAACCTAAAGTGGTGCCTTTTGCTATTTACAGATTTTTGTCATATATATTTTTCATGATTTCCATGGAAACGATTTGGACTTAGTCTAAAAAAATCATCAAGTAGGACTTGTAACTGACAGATGATTTGTTCGTTCAAATAGGTGGGGACAGAGGGGATTTGTCATCTTCTGATAACTCTTGTTTATATTAGCTTTTATTATATTTTTTATCCCCCCGGCATGTAATGCGGGGGGATATAGTCGACGCCTCGTCCTGCTGGCCAGCCGGCCGGCCGTAATCATTTTGTTTCCGGAGCATAAATCAAAAACCGTTCAATATTTTTCAACAAAACTTGGTGATATATCAGAACCTAATGTGGTGCCTCTTGCTATTTACAGATTTTTTGCATTTTTATTTTCCTTGGTTTCCATGGAAACGGTTTGAACTTAGTCTCAAAAAGGAGGGATTGGTTTCGTTTCCAGAGCACAACTCAAAACCGTTCAATATCTTTCTGCAAGACTTGGTAGATATATCAAACCTAAGCTAAAGTGGTGCCTTTGCTATTTACCGACTTTTGGCATTTTTATCCCCCACAACGCGTTTTGCGTGGGTTATTAAAATGGACTCCGTCCGTGCGTCCGTGCACATTTGTCTTTGCTGGAGCAGAACTCTAAAACCTTTCACTATTTCTTCACCAAACTTGGCACATGGATAGATTTGGTGGTGTACTGGTGCCTTTTGGTAGTTTTGGAATTCTGAATAAAATATTTTTGGCGTTTCTATGGCAACAAGTTTGACTTAGCCTGAAATTGGTGGTAGTGCTCTTTACCGGAGCAGAACTCTAAAACCGTTCACTATTTCTTCACCAAACATGGCACATACATAAATCTGGTGGTGTACTGGTACCTTTTGATAGTTTTGGATTCTGAATTAAATATTTTTGGCATATCCATGGCAACAAGTTTGACTTAGACTGAAATTGGTGATAGTGCTCCTTTCTGGAGCAGAACTTTAAAAACCTTTCAATACTCTCCTTCCACTTTTCTATATACACACCTAAATATTTGACATAATCATAACTCATAGACATAATCATGAAGAGTATTTTGCCATTGCGGGGGATATTGATGACTTTGTCTTCTTGTTATTTTTCTTGGTTTACCATGGAAACGTTTCAAGCTTAGTCTCAAAAAGGAGGGATTGGTTTTGTTTCTGGAGCACAACTCAGAAACCGTTCAATATCTTTCTACAAGACTTGGTAGATATATCAAACATAAGCTAAAGTGGTGCCTTTTGCTATTTGCAGATTTTTAGCATATTTGTTTTCCCCGGTTTCCATGGGAACGATTCGGCCGTAGTCTCAAAAGGGAGCGGTGGGTTTCGTTCCAGATCACAACTCGAAAACCGTTCAGTATCTTTCTACAAGACTTGACAGATATATCAAACAGATCTTAAAGTATTGCCTTTTGCTATTTGCAGATTTTTGGCATTTTAATTTTTCATGATTTCCATGGAAACAATTTGGACCTAGTCCCCCAAAATCAAGTTGGACTTTCAGTAATTGTCAGTTGATTTGTTCTTTCAAATTTATGGGGGCCGCGGGGATTTGTCATCTTCTGATTTCTGATCTGTTTACAAAATTAAATGCCGAATTCTTTTTCGTAAGGATAGGAACTTTATGCACTTATTTTATGTATTTAAGGTAAATAATATGTTCATAAATAATAAGACGTTGTTCACTGGTCTCGAGGGGGACATGGGTTGACAGGGAACACAAAGAAACATCGAGGGTACATCAACCCATGTCCCCCTCGAGACCAGTGAACAACTTATGTTTTACCAAGTTTCTTTGTTTGTGACCATTTTTATGTAATATTGATGTAATGTAATTATTTTGTTTCAAAGAACTGCTGTATACGGTGTTTGTCTTGTAACTGGACTTTCACACTGTCCTCATCGCCATGTTGTCTCCTGTTTCAGTTTTGCATGTGGAGAGAACTGGCATGACCCGGTCAAATGCAAATGGCTAAGAAAGTGGATCAAGAAATGTGATGATGATAGTGAAACCTCCAACTGGATAGCTGCAAATACTAAGGTTGGTTATTTTGACATGGTGGCTAAAATGTTTTTGGTTGTTGGGCAGTTGCTTTGTAATACCAAAGTAATGATTATGAAAAAGTATGGCTGCTGATTTCACTCGCAGACATTGACCAGTTCTAACTCTTCTTGATATTTTTTGGAATGTTCACAACACAAGGATTAAAAAGTTACTCACAGAGATCATTCATGTCTATTGTATTATGACTGTTTGAATTTGTTTGCAGGAATGTCCAAAATGTCATGTGACAATTGAGAAGGACGGTGGCTGCAACCACATGGTGTGTAAGAATCAAAACTGCAAAGCTGACTTCTGCTGGGTGTGCCTTGGGCCTTGGGAGCCTCATGGATCTTCATGGTATGGATACAATATGACTATTACTCTCCTGTGTGTGGTTATGTACCTTGGTCAGGGAAGATTTGTATGGCATTTAACTGCTCACCCTTCCAAATGATTGTGATTACTATGTTTTCACGTCCATATTATTGGTAAATACCCCTAGTACATGTGTACAAAATTGATGGAACAAACAGCCCCACACCCACCTACACACCCACACCCACTTACACACCCACACCCACACCCACACCCACACCCACACCCACACCCACCCCCCCTTAACATCATCACCCACCCTAGCTATGAATTATGAACGGTCCCTGAAGTGAATTTTTTTTTGAAACTGTGCACACTTTGAGACCAGGTTGACAACTGGTGCCTTTTACTATTTAGCGTTTATTAGAATTTGTCATTTTCTGTGTCCATGGCAAGTTTGAATGTTTTAGTGGTGAGTTTGTCTGTATCATATCTGTAAAATAAGTATTCTTTCATAAATTTGCATCCACCAAAGACAAGGGTTTTAACTGATGCTCTTTAGTGATATTTAGATATACAATTTTCCCATTTCCATGGCAACAAATGTGATTTTGATTCTGTTCATAGTGGCGTGTTTATCCGGACCATATCCCTAAAGCTTATAGGTATTCTTTCATGACATTGCACAAAGAAATACAAAGCTCTGAATTCCAATTCCATATTACTGTTTTGATCGCTCAATAACTTCCCTTGTATTCAGACAGAAAGATTAGATTTAAATTCTTTCAGTAAGTTAGTTTAAAGTAATATTCTGATGATTTGTTCATTTGTATGGGCCAGGGGATTGTCATCTTGAGATTCTTGTAATATTATCAGATGCTACCTGCAGCTCTCAAAATTGTGAAAAATGATGAAATTTTTAAACTTATCCTATCTCACGATTTGCACTTCTCTCTCTTGCTTTGACGCTGAGTGGAACGAATGAGAACTTTTCCTGTAGGTCTCCCTTGTCCATACGCCCGTGTTCCCCAGGCTGCTCTCCTTATAGGACAGGTCCCTAGTCCCGGCTAAGCGTGCAGCACGTTCCCCTGTCTACCCATGTGACTACCTCAGAGTGATCATTCTTCTTCTTGTCACACCACTGTGTGGACATATTGTGAGAGTTATCAGCTTTCCTTACAAGTTAACATCCTAAGTCACACTGTAACAATATTTACTTCCTCGGATCCCCACTCGTCATGTGTGGGTTGTATTGACTAGTGTTGGGATTTGGTTGAAATCTTACAATTGATGATTGGTTCGATACCAACGACCAATCATCAAAACAAATTGGTTAGCGGCATTTTTTAGATTTTCCTATTCAGGTTGTAGTTGCAGATAAGTATAAAGAAAAAGAATTTGGTTCTCTGTTGTTTTTTTGTTTTATTTAGAAACTGCACAAATTACACTTGCAGATTTCACATCCAGTGTAAAATGATTCAGTTCCAGTGTAACATTAACTTCCCAGATTCTTCAAGAAATATTCAGTCATGACTTTTCAGAAAGTGAAGTGAGTTTTCTAAGAATTAAACACGTTTTCCGGCCCTCACAACGTCCTAGATATGTTCCATCATCAAGTATTTCAAACTTCGATTACAGCGGTTCCCAAATCGTTTATGTTCGATTATGAGAAACGTGATCGATTGCTTGGTCGTTTGGCCACTACGACCAATCTTCGATTATTTCAATTAATCGGAACACCACTAGTATTGACCTGTGTTCCTGGAGCAAACATTGTCGGGAATGTGCTCCCTTATCAAGGACGTTTTTAGAGCATGTAGACATGCTTGCTCCCGTTGGCTGGCAGACAGAGCTCGTTACACTTCAACAGTTGATCACCCGACAAACCCCCGCTTTCAACGACCAGTATTAACTGCTCGTCGTCCGATTCTATTGGCGCATCATCAGATGTCTACTCGTCGTTCAGCCTCATCAAACCGCTCTGTGTTGCCAGCTGACTCACACAGCCGATCTACATCGTCAAATCGCCGAACCGATTCACCACACCGAATCGGTTCGCCATACCGAATGGATTCACCAGACCGAACCGTTTAGCCACGGCGTATGTGGATTACGACATCGACTCAATACGCCATAATATTAAGACTGTTTCTTATTGCCGAAACGGTTCACATCATTGATTCAATTCACAGCACCGAAACGACTCGCCTTGCCGTAACGGCTCTCTTCACCGAAACTATTCACCTCGGCCGGAACATTTCACTTCGCCTCACTGGTTCATCTGATCGTTTTAGATCTCTCCATCAGCTGAGATCATTTAAGTGTTTCGGATTACCGAACCGATTCAGATCACAGTCACGATCCAGCTCACACCGCCGATCAAGATCACGGACTGATTCAGATCACATCAACGTTCCGGCTCACCACCCTGAACCGATTTACCAGCCCGACTCGTACCGTTTCACCAGGCCGAACCGCTTCCTATCGTCGAACCAGTTCACCTGTCCGTTCAAGATCACTGAATTGTCATCATTCATCGAACTGTCAGCATTCGTCAATAATCCGTTCCTCGGACCTAGCCAGCAATTGAGCTTATTCACGAATTGGGCGATTCACCAATCGTGTTATTTCCAACACGGCGCATGTTACCAGCCTATCAGAGCCTATGCCAAATGTGGCTGGGATGCCTCCCAAGACACTTAACCCACATCGAACCTCGTCTTTGTTTTCATGGTTCGGGCTATGCCAGTCACCTATAAGATTCAGGAATGGTTTTGGTTGATTCGACACACATGATCGCATGGTTCGCCGACCACCTACAGCTACCTAGAGCAAGATACAAGATGTTCTATTGATTACATTCAACATGAAGGATCAGGACTTGTCAACACTGGTTTTCCACATCCTCAATGAGGTTCGTGAACTTGCATCTAGATAGGGCCAAATTTGTCGAACTCTGCTAGTTTTCAACACGATCCCAGTTTTCAGGGCATCTGTGAGGCGCTGAATTCCTCATTACGAAGTGGCAAGCTCTAAGCTCGACAAATTGATTTGTTTATCCGGTTTACCTTACGGCTTGTGAGGCGCTCAATGTTTTTAGTCACATAAATTATCCCACCTCGTACCCCTTTTTCGGCTGGTTGAACAGAGGTAGTAGCTATGTGCTTCACCATGCCGAATCGATTTACATGTGATGTCAGTAGCGCAGTCATCTAGACATATAACGCTCGGCACTTGACGGTCTGACGATCCCAGTTCTCAAGAGTCCTCCGTGACCGGGGCTCATCTCATTCCAGATTTAATCTACCATCCGATCTTCACCTTTGATGAATGATTCGGTTCAACGAATCTACCCTTCGGTGTAGATGTCAGTTCTACAACCACCCGATAGGGCATTACTAGATAAGCTTGCTAGCCAGGAATACTTTACCACGCTTCACTGAGTCTTGTTACTACAGACTACTGGTAACAGCATGTTTGTGTATCGCTGGGTGCAATTATTGCAGATGGTTTGTCATCTTCAGCTCCCTTTGTTTTACATGATAAGCAAGTTTCTGGACAGATAACAGATGGGTCAAGTTTTTGCGCATGGTACCAGCAGTGATGTTTTGTCAATTAGCCAGCATAGCTCATCCCGGGAATTTATAGGTTGCGACTCGCCCGGTTAACCGAAGACCGTTTTGTTCGTTTTTTTTGTCACTCGTGTGTAACATGTGCAAATGGCGGACTACTGTTTGTTTACCGGAATTTTGATGATTAGAGTGACTATGAAGTGCCCTTGCAGACTTGTCTTGGTCCCACAAATCGGATATCAAGTCCAGCCTTTAAATGCTAGTAACAATGAACGGTGCCATTCCCGGTAAGAGTGATTGTGTCGGGATTTCGACAGCCAGTCGAGAGAGACTGCTTATCGAGGGTGACAGACAGAAACACCCGTGAACGGTTTGACTTTTTGCTGGGGTTACTCGGTTTTCTACATTAGCTCAAGCACTGAGTTCAGAGGTCACTGCAGTTATGTGTGGACTGTCACCAGGCAGCGATCTACTACCTTTCTCACTCTACCTGGCGAACCATCATTTTGTTCGGCCAACCAAAACATTCCTGAGGTCGCCGATCGTATGAATTTCTTCAATTCGTTAACAATGTGAACGTTCCTGTAGATTGACTGACAATCTCCATGCGCCGAACATACTACATTCAGCACTCCGTTAGAACTGACATAGTAGCTCGACTTATTGAACGTTCTTATATCAGGAGATATCTCTTTGTCAGAGGCAAGAGTGTTAGACCTCTCATTTCCTTCGACCTGTGAGACGCCTACCTTCACATCCTGATACATCCAGACTATCGGAAGTATCTTCGATTTTCTTTCAAGGGCGTCATTGATACCAATGGAGGGTCCTGCTGTTTGGCATATGTACGGCCCCGTGGCTTTTTACTCAGATACCCAATCCGATAACAAGCTACCTGCATTGTCTAGGCGTGACATTCGAGAACTATATCGACGACTGTGTTCAAGCCCAGCAGGATCAAGTCGTCCTTCCTCTCCACAGGCAGTTCATCATCAATTTGAAGAAATGCTGAATTCGGAGAAATCGGAGGTAACACTGTCCCGGTGATTTCTTTTTATTGGGACAATATTCAACACGACAGGTCATGATGTTTGTGCCCCAGGAGAGGTGGGGCAAGATTCAGTGCAACGCACCACTAGTGCTGGTCCAACCCACAACTTTTCACCAGTGGCAGAAGTTACTAGGGTGGTTGACGTCGGCACAAGCGCTGACTGACAGGGGCCAGCTGCAGCTTCGCCCTCTTCAGATGTTTCTGTGCCCATACATCCAGGACGACAACCCCAGGGAGTTGATTCGTCTTCCCGCACAACTACATTCAGTCTTTCGTTGGTGGCTCAACAAGTGGAATGTTTGTGTTGGAGTCTCTATGGTGCCCTTCACACCTGTTCGTCGACACATCTTTCAAGCTGGGGTGCTCACTTTCTCCATCAAGTGGCCTAGCAGTAGTCATCAGGAGAAAGAGCCCTTCATATCAACGAATTGGAATTCAGCACTGTCATTCTCGCCGTTCGGCATTGGGCAGTTGAACTACGGTTCACTCATATACTAATTCAATCAGACATTTCGATGGTAATTTTGTACATAAACCATCAGGGGTCGACAGGATCAGCAGCTCTGCTTCAGTTGATGTTTCGAATTTATCATCTTGAGATAGATAAGTTTAAAATTTGAATATGAATTGTATATTTATATACTTATCCTATCTCACGAGATGGATGCCCACCCAGCCTCCCTTCTACTCAGATTACGTCAGTTACGTATAACTGTCATTGGATCCAAGAAGAGAATGATCACTCTGAGGTAGTCACGTGGGTAGACAGGGGAACGTGCTGCACGCTTAGCCGGGACTAGGGACCTGTCCTATAAGGAGAGCAGCCTGGGGAACACGGGCGTATGGACAAAAGAGGCCTACAGCAAAAGTTCTCATTCGTTCCACTCAGCGTCAAAGCAAGAGAGAGAAGTGCAAATCGTGAGATAGCTAAGTAAAATTTTCAAATTCAATTAAGTTTATGGTATGAAAAGGTAATAAAATTATCAAGAAATTCAATCAAACTTCAGATAGTTCGATAACACTGCCCATCTTAATTCGAAGTGTTAAAACTGTATTCCATAGAAAGTATTTGCGTTTATAGGGTTTAACCAACTTGACTTCCATGAAAGACCATGACATGTTACTTATGGTACAGATGCTTTGAAATAGTCTTTGAAACAGTACACCTATATGCCAGACATGTACCTAGTTTGATGATGTCTGTGTTTGTTTCAAGGTACAACTGTAACAGATACAATGAAGATGAAGCCAAAAAAGCCAGAGATGCACAGGAGGTAGGTATCTGACTACAGGTTATGAAAGCATTCCGTTTGATAGGGCTGCGCAATATAACCGGTTCACCGGTATTTACCGGTTCAGACATGAAAACGATACGTATTGCGATACGCTGATCGAAAACCGGTATTTTGACATGCATTCGGATATTTCCGTTTTTTTAATTGTACTTAATTAGTGCCAAATGTTACTTAAATTTTAATTTGTCATGATTAAAAGTTTTAATAAAAGGTGAATCAATCATAGTGATTTTGTTGTGTTTTTGCTTTATAATCAAGCATTAACTCGATTATAAGTAGTTTTTGTTAAAAAAAATAATCCTTGAAATATATTGCAATACATATCGCAATATATCGCAATATGAAAATTCTCTGCAATATCCACCCCTACTGTTTGAATTCTGGGGAAAAATTCCCCAGAACCTTTCTTTGTTGTCATTGTACGTATGGATGGATGGATATGTATCATATGTATTGTATATATTTGTATATGAATACTGTAATTCCTCTTTCTAATACTTTGTTCCTTTGAATTGCTTATTTTGTGTTTCATCACAGAAGTCCAGAGCAGCACTACAACGGTACCTGTTCTACTGCAATCGCTACATGAACCATATGCAGAGCCTTAAGTTTGAACACAAGGTTTGTGGGATATACAGATTTATAGTACTAGAAATAGAGGTAAACTGTAAACTGAAAACACTTCACATCTTTAGTAATTGATCCAGTATATGAGTGTAGATAAACCAATGTCTTAACTTGAATCTTATTATCAGTATCAAAATGAGATGTCTGGTTCATAAGCTGAACCACCAACCTTCATTCATCTTGTCATCTTGTCATGAGTGTCAGTAAATCCGTGGAAACATGTGCATGGCTGATTACTATTTCAGGCTCTTTTACGAGACAGATTCCCATGATAATATTAATCCCAAAATCCCTCCAGTAACACCTGTCAGACTATATATAACACTATTCACCACACATCCCTCCTGTAACACCTGTCAGACTATATATAACACTATTCACCACACATCCCTCCTGTAACACCTGTCAGACTATATATAACACTATTCACCACACATCCCTCCTGTAACACCTGTCAGACTATATATAAAACTATTCACCACACATCCCTCCTGTAACACCTGTGAGACTATGTTATAACACTATTCACCACACATCCCTCCTGTAACACCTGTCAGACTATGTTATAACACTATTCACCACACATCCTTCCTGTAACACCTGTCAGACTATGATATAACACTATTCACCACACATCCCTCCTGTAACACCTGTCAGACTATGTTATAACACTATTCACCACACATCCCTTCTGTAACACCTGTTGGACTGTTATAACATTCACCAAACATCCCTCCTGTGACACCTCTCAGACTATGTTATAATACTATTCACCACACATCCCTCCAGTAACACCTGTCAGACTATGTATATAACACTATTTCACCACACATCCCTCCTGTAACACCTGTCAGACTATGTTATAACACTATTCACCACACATCCCTCCAGTAACACCTGTCAGACTATGTATATAACACTATTTCACCACACATCCCTCCTGTAACACCTGTCAGACTATGTATATAACACTATCACCACACATCCCTCCTGTAACACCTGTCAGACTATATATAACACTATTCACCACACATCCCTCCAGTAACACCTGTCAGACTATGTTAAAACACTATTCACCACACATCCCTCCAGTAACACCTGTCAGACTATGTTATAACACTATTCACCACACATCCCTCCAGTAACACCTGTCAGACTATGTATATAACACTATTTTACCACACATCCCTCCTGTGACACCTGTCAGACTATGTTATAACACTATTCACCACACATCCCTCCAGTAACACCTGTCAGACTATGTATATAACACTATTTCACCACACATCCCTCCTGTAACACCTGTCAGACTATGTTATAACACTATTCACCACACATCCCTCCTGTAACACCTGTCAGACTATGTTAAAACACTATTCACGACACATCCCTCCTGTAACACCTGTCAGACTATGTATATAACACTATTTCACCATACATCCCTCCTGTGACACATGTCAGACTATGTTATAACACTATTCACCACACATCCCTCCAGTAACACCTGTCAGACTATATATAACACTATTCATCACACATCCCTTCAGTAACACCTGTCAGACTATGTTATAACACTATTCACCACACATCCCTCCAGTAACACCTGTCAGACTATGTTATAACACTATTTCACCACACATCTCTCCTGTAACACCTGTTGGACTATGTTATAACACTATTTCACCACACATCTCTCCTGCTGCAGCTATATGCCTCTGTGCGGGCCAAGATGGAGGAGATGCAGCAACAGAACATGTCCTGGATCGAGGTGCAGTTTCTGAAAAAGGCTGTGGATGTTCTGTGCCAGTGCCGTCAGACACTCATGTACACATATGTCTTCGCCTTCTACCTGAGAAAGAACAACCAGTCCATCATATTTGAGGTGTGTTGCAAATTATGCATTAAAGTAAAGGATAGTGTAATTGTAATGGTAAAGTCCTGATGGCAACAGTCAAAATATTTAAGGGCTCCCAACTACTGTTGCAGAAAGTCTCACTGATTTGAAAATTCAGCATAAACCCACTGTGTTCCAGGTTGTCTCAGTGTAGATTTGGTGTTTAATTTGGAATTAGATAAACTATTGCATCTTCAGCGAGATTAAATTTCAGAACACTGTAGGTTAACTTCCTTTCTGCCATGATAAAATTAAATGTTTGGTGATGACAATGATATTGAGTGAAATGGCAATTGTGACAGCCCACTATTTTGAGCAAGTTTTCCATCTGGATGGACAAAACACCTAAAATTATATAATGTCATTGTCTATGATGCATTTGTTTCACGTGATACTTTACTCCCATATATGACACACATTGAAGTGTGAGCTCAGGTATGTCAAGTAATCATGAAGTGAACACCACAAATTAAGCATGCCTTAGAAGGTTCAGTTCTACTTCAAATGGCATAATTTGTCAAAGCTACAGAAATGTCCCTCAAACGCCAACTCTAATACTTGAAATGAACTCTTTGTTGATTTCTTTGTGTTTGGTCGATTTCATGTATGGACTGCAACTGTGCATTTTTAGGTTGTGAATTGATCATTCTGATCGACCCGTCAGAACTGAGCATTTTCCAAATTTGTAGTTGGAATTATAACATTGATGGATCTGTCTTTGAATATGTTGTCACTTGGGATTAGCTGAACCACATGACATGATGCTGTTTGCTAGGACAATCAGCGAGATCTGGAGACAGCAACAGAGCAGCTGTCTGAGTATCTGGAGAGGGACATTTCTTCTGATGTACTGCATGACATCAAGCAGAAGGTCCAGGATAAATACAGGTACACCGTAACAGTGTGTGGGTAGATACTGGAACAATACAGGTTCTAGGAATGTTGGCTGAGGTCAGGCATGGGAAGACTCCAACCAATTTTTTTGGGATCAGGTATTGGATGATGCAGGTTCCAGGAATGTAGGGCGTGTCAGGTACAGGAAGAATACAGGTTCCAGGAATGTAGGGTGGGGCAGGTATTGGGAGAATACAGGTTCCAGGAATGTAGGGTGGGGCCAGGGCCAGGTATGGGTACAAGGAGAATACAGGTTCCAGGAATAAGGTTCCAGGAATATAGGGGGCCAGGTGCATTGGGAGAATACAGGTTCCAGGAATGTAGGGTGGGGCCAGGTATTGGGAGGAAATACAGGTTCAGGTATTGGAATGTAGGGTGGGAATGTAGGTGTGGGGTCAGGTATTGAATACAGGTTCCAGGAAAGAAGGGTCAGGTATTGGGAGAATACAGGTCAGGTATAGGGTGGGTCAGGTATTGGGAGAATACAGGTCAGGAATCCAGGTGTTGGGAATATAGGAATGTGGGTCAGGTGTGGGAAGAATACAGGTTCCAGGAATACAGGTATTGTTCAGGTTCAGGAATGTAGGGTGTGGTCAGGTACAGGGAGAATACAGGTTCCAGGAATATAGGGTGGGGTCAGGTATGGGAAGAATACAGGTTCCAGGAATGTAGGGTGGGGCCAGGTATGGGAAGAATACAGGTTCCAGGAATGTAGGGTGGGTCAGGTATTGGGAGAATACAGGTTCCAGGAATATAGGGTGGGTCAGGTATTGGGAGAATACAGGTTCCAGGAATGTAGGGTGGGGTCAGGTATTGGGAGAATACAGGTTCCAGGAATGTAGGGTGGGTCAGGTATGGGAAGAATACAGGTTCCAGGAATATAGGGTGGGGCCAGGTATAGGGAAGAATACAGGTTCCAGGAATATAGGGTGGGTCAGGTATTGGAAGAATACAGGTTCCAGGAATATAGGGTGGGTCAGGTATTGGGAGAATACAGGTTCAAGAATATAGGGGGTCAGGTATTGGGAGAATACAGGTTCCAGGAATGTAGGGGGGGTCAGGTATGGGAGGAATACAGGTTCAGGAATATAGGGTGGGTCAGGTATTGGGAGAATACAGGTTCAGGAATGTAGGGTGGGGTCAGGTATTGGGAGAATACAGGTTCCAGGAATATAGGGTGGGGCCAGGTATTGGGAGAAGAATACAGGTTCCAGGAATGTAGGGTGGGGTCAGGTATTGGGAGAATACAGGTTCAGGAATGTAGGGTGGGTCAGGTATTGGAGAATACAGGTTCCAGGAATATAGGGTGGGTCAGGTATGGGAAGAATACAGGTTCCAGGAATGTAGGGTGGGTCAGGTATGGGAAGAATACAGGTTCCAGGAATATAGGGTGGGGCCAGGTATTGGGAGAATACAGGTTCCAGGAATGTAGGGTGGGTCAGGTATTGGGAGAATACAGGTTCCAGGAATGTAGGGTGGGGCCAGGTATGGGAAGAATACAGGTTCCAGGAATGTAGGGTGGGTCAGGTATTGGAAGAATACAGGTTCCAGGAATATAGGGGGTATTGGGAGGAATACAGGTTCAGGAATTGGGAGGAGAATACAGGTTCCAGGAATGTAGGGTGGGGTCAGGTATGGGGAGAATACAGGTTCCAGGAATATAGGGTGGGTCAGGTATTGGGAGAATACAGGTTCCAGGAATGTAGGGTGGGTCAGGTATTGGGAGAATACAGGTTCCAGGAATATAGGGTGGGGCCAGGTATTGGGAGAATACAGGTTCCAGGAATGTAGGGTGGGGTCAGGTATTGGGAGAATACAGGTTCCAGGAATATAGGGTGGGTCAGGTATTGGGAGAATACAGGTTCCAGGAATGTAGGGTGGGTCAGGTATTGGGAGAATACAGGTTCCAGGAATATAGGGTGGGTCAGGTATGGGAAGAATACAGGTTCCAGGAATGTAGGGTGGGGTCAGGTATGGGAAGAATACAGGTTCCAGGAATATAGGGTGGGGCCAGGTATTGGGAGAATACAGGTTCCAAGAATGTAGGGTGGGGTCAGGTATTGGGAGAATACAGGTTCCAAGAATGTAGGGTGGGTCAGGTATTGGGAGAATACAGGTTCCAAGAATGTAGGGTGGGTCAGGTATTGGGAGAATACAGGTTCCAAGAATGTAGGGTGGGTCAGGTATTGGGAGAATACAGGTTCCAGGAATATAGGGTGGGTCAGGTATTGGGAGAATACAGGTTCCAGGAATGTAGGGTGGGGTCAGGTATTGGGAGAATACAGGTTCCAGGAATATAGGGTGGGTCAGGTATGGGAAGAATACATGTTCCAGGAATATAGGGTGGGTCAGGTATTGGGAGAATACAGGTTCCAGGAATGTAGGGTGGGTCAGGTATTGGGAGAATACAGCTTCCAGGAATATAGGGTGGGTCAGGTATGGGAAGAATACAGGTTCCAGGAATGTAGGGTGGGACCAGGTATGGGAAGAATACAGGTTCCAAGAATGTAGGGTGGGTCAGGTATTGGAAGAATACAGGTTCCAGGAATATAGGGTGGGGCCAGGTATTGGGAGAATACAGGTTCCAGGAATATAGGGTGGGTCAGGTATTGGGAGAATACAGGTTCCAGGAATATAGGGTGGGTCAGGTATTGGAAGAATACAGGTTCCAGGAATATAGGGTGGGGCCAGGTATTGGGAGAATACAGGTTCCAAGAATGTAGGGTGGGGTCAGGTATTGGGAGAATACAGGTTCCAAGAATATAGGGTGGGTCAGGTATTGGGAGAATACAGGTTCCAAGAATGTAGGGTGGGTCAGGTATTGGGAGAATACAGGTTCCAGGAATATAGGGTGGGTCAGGTATTGGGAGAATACAGGTTCCAGGAATGTAGGGTGGGTCAGGTATTGGGAGAATACAGGTTCCAGGAATATAGGGTGGGTCAGGTATTGGGAGAATACAGGTTCCAGGAATGTAGGGTGGGGTCAGGTATTGGGAGAATACAGATTACATTAAAGCGTGTTCAAGAACACAGCATTCAATACAAACTAACTGGCAATGGATAAAATTGTTGGCCATTCTCATAAATATGTATGCTTTTTTCTTCTTGGACACATTGCATGCAAAGTAAGCTATTGCATCATACTTTAAAGATGTGCCATTGCCCCCACCCTGAGTTTTGGATTGACTGATCAAAGCTGACAGTTTTCTTTGGGCTTGACAGATATTGTGAGAGCCGTCGCAAGGTGCTTTTGGACCATGTACATGAAGGCTATGAGAAAGATCTATGGGAATACATCGAAGACTTCCCCTGATGTCTCTGCTGTACTCGCAACATTTGGACACCTTTATCCTGTTTTAACCAATTGAGAACATGTTTGAAAATTCTGAGCTTCACATTTGAGTTGTTGTTTCACAAGGCAGTACGCTACTAAACCTGTCAACCCTCCCTTTTCCTCACGGAGATTGTGGCCATTTGGAATGTTACTGCCAAATTCTGAGACAGTTCAGAAAATTGTTTGATTAAAACTCACTTTTGATGTCTGATATGCTTTGTTATGTTTCAGTTGATGGGGCTATATGTCTCCATGGTGATTAAAATGTGGGGGTTGACAGCCACCACTTGGTTTCATCAAAACACTAGTGAAAGCTATTCTGTATTGAAAACAAACAAAACTTGGTTTCATTTTTCATGCAAATCCATCCACTAGAAGTTCATATTTAAAATCTGAATTCCTGATTTGGACTATATTGTATATCAGGGGGAGTATATTATTGCATACGTTGGGGTGGGGATTTGAATTTCATGACAACATAAGATTTACTAGGTTGAGTAAAAGTTCCATTTAATTATTTTGGTTTGTTGAGAGACTATTTCTGAATGAATGAGAGTGGATCGTGGTGGTACATATCCCAGGGAATCTTTGAAAGGCTATAATTATTACAGACACATACTTGAAAGATACAAAATGGTTGCTGCTTGTATGGCACAGTAGGAGGTGCTATTCTTGTGTTTGATTCTGTCAGCTTTTGGAAATACTACAATTTGCAGATCATGGTAGCTTCATTGGTCAGTAAATATGAAGGTGTCAAATTTGATGCAAATTATCAAATAACAACTAAAATACATTATATGTATTCATAGTGTAGGCTTTTTCAAGACAATGTACATAATATGACAGTATATAGATGTTTTGCCCTAATAGGGATGTACTGTGTATACATAGGCTGTATGAATATTGAATATAGACTCCAAGCTCAAGTAGAGGTTGAGAATGGCACTTTTTCTCAACTGAATAACCATCTTGAGTTTGTTACAGGAATGAATGTTGGTGAATATGTGCTTATTTGAGAGGCATAATTAGCCATATGTCACCTCTGGCTTGTTCACATAATGATTGTCTGAGTGGCATCCACTGAAAGCTTGTTGCTGTATTGTCAACTCAGAGTCTATTGAAGGTTCTACTTGATCTCTTGAGAACTACTCTGAACTTATACAAGTTCTCACTGATATTTAATTATATTTTGACGTATGTAAAATCCCCTGAAAATGATCGTGTGTATTTACAATGTTTGTTAATGCATTAAGAAATGAATTGGTATTCATTATGTTCTGAGTGACAATGCAGCATTTAAGATATTACATCGTACTTGCATGGCCATTCATCAAGCTGTTTCCTTATTTATTTTAATCTATTCATTCCTGTGTAAAAATGATTGATGAGGGTATTTTGAGGTGTGAATACCCATACCTATGCAGATGGAATTGTTACCGAGTGTGTTGTACAATGAATGGTGTGTGTGTGTGTGTATGTGAGAGAGTGGAGCTTCAGATGTGGTTTGTCTAGTTCCTTTACAACGTGGTCAGCATTGTATATGTTATCACTAGTTGATGTGTCTGAATATTTACCCTGTCCTCACTGTTTTACCGAGTCAGCAGCTTTATTTAGCATTTGCACATCCTGCACGTCACAGTGCTATCATGTTTGTCGTGATTCACAAATAGGATGATTTGTGTCAGATACGATTTACTTCATACCATGCATCAGAGATAGCAGTTAGCACTAGTCAGATGTCTAATGTTTACTGTGTTCTACAATCTCATAGTACTTCAACCAATTTGCACGATCTGCTAAATGTAACTTCTATTCAGATAAGATACTTAGACATTTCAGGGCCTAGATTTTCGAAGCTCTCTTAGCACTAAGATAGTCGTAAGTCTGTGTTAATGTATAGCAGTTGCGACAATCTTAGCGCCAAGAGAACTTCGAAAATCTAGGCCCTGGTTATTTTCTCCAATAACAGGTAATTGTAAGTTAGAAATGTATTTCAATGGAACTCATAGAACATAGGGAATGGAATAAAGTCTGCTATTATAGAATATGTGACCAAAGTATAATGTTATCGTTGAGTTTATGCTGAATGGTTGTTTTACGTATGTGTGTACGACATAGTTGTTTGAATATCATTCGGTGAGAAGGAAGATAGCATGCTATTTGTGTGTATGGTGCTGCCAGCCAAGACATGTTTTCAACATTTAAAGTGAATGATTTATTTGGTGTGCCAAACATCACCACAGGTCAAGTATGTCAGGTTTGTGTTTGTTGTTATCAATTAGAGACTGATCTACCACCAAACCATATTACGTTATTCTCAACCATGCAAAGATGTTTTGTTTCAGTTTACATTATGAAGCATGTTTTCTGTGTTGGGTTATGTGTTAGAGACAACCAGTCCATCATATTGTCCACGTGCTTTGATGTTAGTGCTCTGCAGTTATTAAAGAAAACCAGTTATTGTTACCTTTTTGTATGCCCTCTAGATAGACCCTTATATTTATTGTCACTAGTTTGTTGACAAATCGTAGGGATGAATTTTTGGATGAATTTTTTTAATTTGTAAGCTTTCCCTATAGATCAAGTTTGATGAATAGTATTGTAAATGGCTAACATGTTTGTACAACTTTGTAAGACCGGATTTGTTGAAAGAAGATGGACAACTCCACAAGTGTGCTGACCACGGTTCTGTTGTGTCAGGTTCAGGTACTCAGAACAGCAGTGTTGTGCACCAGGCTATTCTGTCTTCCACTACAGTGACCTGTATACCTCCATTAATAACCTCAGTTATCAACTTCCTACTTCAGTTCCTAGCTGTATTCCACCTTTTTTAAAATGCTGTGGTGCTTACTGACTCTGATTGAAGTGTAGTGTCATGGCAGATGATTTTGTAATTTGATGTTTAAAACCATTGACATCCTGTCAGTAAATCCTTACACATAGACAGTTGAAGGGTTGAGTGTACATGTGCTATGTAACCGTTAAAGTCACCCAGCCTGTTTGGGCGTTGATGGACTCCTATTGTGACAGTGTGTCATATACTACATTAACAAAGTTAAGAGCACATGATTCTTTCATTGACTACAGTTATGATGTGACAGATTAACTATTGTAATATGAAAGAAGCTGTGATCCTTATCTTTTTTTCAGTAGTATGTGGGGTAATACTTGTTGGAAAGTGATACGATTATTTCAGTGATATTTCTGGGACCTTTTATCTTTAACTTCTGTTTGCTGACTTCATCTGTTATGTATTTCTAGTTTGAACGTCTATATTTTTATGCTAAATTGTTCACCTGATTAGAATAGACACTGCCAATGTGTTTTCTACAAAAGCATTATTTGATTGATTGACAGTTCAGTAATTTATCTATGTCAGGCATTTAGACATGGCACAAAACTAAACCAGTGGAGCCAGAGAGAAGTTGGTTATATTTTTGTACTCCAGGTACAGCAGTGTTCAACATTTGGCTGTGTTGTCAAGATTGTACATGTGTAACATTTTACAGTACAGTACAGTATGAGGATAGCAAGGTGCTGTGTTGTCAAGATTGTACATGTGTAACATTTTACAGTACAGTACAGTATGAGGATAGCAAGGTGCTGTGTTGTCAAGATTGTACATGTGTAACATTTTACAGTACAGTACAGTATGAGGATAGCAAGGTGCTGTGTTGTCAAAGATTGTACATGTGTAACATTTTACAGTACAGTAACATTACTGTATGAGGATAGCAAGGTGCTGTGTTGTCAAGATTGTACATGTGTAACATTGTACAGTACAGTACTAAGCATGAGGATAGCAAGGTGCTGTGTTGTCAAGATTGTACATGTGTAACATTGTACAGTACAGTACAGTATGAGGATAGCAAGGTGCTGTGTTGTCAAGATTGTACATGTGTAACATTTTACAGTACAGTACTGTATGAGGATAGCAAGGTGCTGTGTTGTCAAGATTGTACATGTGTAACATTTTACAGTACAGTACAGTATGAGGATAGCAAGGTGCTGTGTTGTCAAGATTGTACATGTGTAACATTTTACAGTACAGTACAGTATGAGGATAGCAAGGTGCTGTGTTGTCAAGATTGTACATGTGTAACATTGTACAGTACAGTACTGTGTGAGGATAGCAAGGTGCTGTGTTGTCAAGATTGTACATGTGTAACATTGTACAGTACAGTACAGTACTGTGAGGATAGCAAGGTGCTGTGTTGTCAAGATTGTACATGTGTAACATTGTACAGTACAGTATCAGGATAGCAAGGTGCTGTGTCTGGAAGCAGCTTGAGGAGACAGAAGCAATTGCTCACCAGTCAACAATTGTATCATGTCTATGTCACAACAATGTACTCATCTTTGACTATATTTCATCACAGTATGTGGTGGCCAGGCTGCAGTGTGTTTGCTAGACAGTTACAAGCTATCATATACACTTTATATCATTGACAATATCCACTGCCTGGTCTGTTACTCTTCTTCATCCTGTAGATGATGTAACTGACAGGGGTACTCAGTGTAATTCATTAGCTAATGAATCCACATGTGTCCTTTGTATTTTTAACTATGGTATTTTCAAACCTTGACATTACTTCCTTTGTAATTTCTTTCTTTCTTACTGAAATGTGTTGTAGCCAAGTTAAGAGATGAATTTGATATGTTTCGTTCCTGATCATGTGTAGTATGTACTGCCACAGGGCTGACTCATCCCATGATACTAGGTATTCTGCTTTGTGTGGCCACACTGTGCTTTGGCACAATAACCTTGACGCTTGTATTAGAACATGTCGCATATGGACAAGAATATTCAAACACACTTTAAGGAAGTGAATGACAATAAGTACATTTATATTATTGAAGTGAACTAAATTACAGAAGTGAATATGTTTAGTTCAGTATTTAGGTAAGATAACCCAACAACCATTTAGGAGATGAACATACTGTGTTGGAAACTCAGAGGTATATAACAAGATTAAAGTAGCTTTAAGTGAAATATTTAGAGCTATTATCATTTCGTCATACATCTCTGATTTTCCAACACACAATGTTTATCTCCATTCTACCATAACCATGTTATTAAGATTAAAAAAACTACATGCTGTGTTTGAAAATCAGAGGTATATAACGCGATTATATACCTCTGAATGACTTTATTTAACCAATCACAATCCAGTATTTACTGCAGTCATGGTAGAAGTGAAATGGAAACAGCTTTGAAGAAGTATTTAAATTTATTTTAAAATTGTCTAAATTTTTTCACTGGTATCATTACCTGTGGAACATGTGCTTGCTTTATTTATTTAACACCACCATATGAACATGTCGTAATACAGCTGAAGACAGTTTCTGCGTTTAACACCTTTACTGGCAATATCACGGTGTAAAATGTCTCAAGTGGTATGTAATACATGTTTAAACTGCTATCTCAGACTTGTACAGGGTAATGTTGAATTTTCATTCCAAGGCCCAGATAGAGCAGTTACAGCGCATAGATCATAAGCCTATGTTGATATTATGGGTGTTTTGACAGTTTTTGCACAAAGTTCACTTTGTGGGACACATTTGCGATTTACACTTGCTTGCTGAAGTGATTATGGTAGATTAATGCAATTTTGCTGACTCACTTACTCTTTAAGTTCCCTTTACTGTAGTCTGATTACAAATTGCCCTTTTCCTCACAAAACAGTGGAAATAGGCTTCTGGTTGCCACTTGGCATTGAGTAAAAGACAACATTCAGTCACGTTAAGTCCTGAAACACTGCAGACAAATCTTTCACTGCCAATTTTGTTTTATCACCACTCCTATTACTGCTCAATCTTGGTACTTATGGTTGAATATTTGACTATCTTTAGAAAAAGTCTGCATAATTACAGATACCAATACCGCTGTGTCCCACCTTACCAGTTAATAGAAGCCAGTTCCTTTCCAAAGAGTGCAGCTCCAGGGTAGCATATATTTGTATCCCAAATCCGCAATATGCTGTGTTGTCTGATCCCATACCCTTTAACTAGCACTTCATGAGCGTTTGCATGGCCTTTTAGGACATTCTGGTGAATCCCTTTCTCAGTGCTACATCTTGTTTACTGTGTGTGTATTGTTGTAAGCAGTGTTTGGGTGTTGAATGTGACAGCTGCACCTGGTGGTTCATCCCTCTACCATGTTAGACATGTCCTCATACTTCTCTGTTGGTTGATTGTACAGGCCTGGTATTTTATATGTCCTTTTTTCAATTCAAAACATATGTTGTCAAACCATACTTACATTACATTGCATGTAATGTATATAATATATAAATCTCAAGAATAAAGTTGTCAGAAAAGTGCAGTTTGATTTTTTTATTGTTTATGTGCTCATGATACTTTGGGAAGTCAAAATATCACATGACTAAATAATGATTTAAGTCAGGATGATTTTATTGTATACATGTACTGCTTTTCTACCACTGCTTTCAGTAATTTCAGGAATTGGTTAATCTAAAGCGTTCTAAAATATCCAGAATTCAGACAATATGTCCCCAAACTGGATGCAGGAGTAATTTTTGAAGTGAAGACCAGTCTTACAATAAGAAATACATTTCTGGAGACCTTGGAATGTGTTTGAAGTATTTTTTCATATTAAGATAAAGTATAAGTACTAAAATGTGACTATAGCACGTGAAATACTGAGATAAGATAGGAACAAGTAAACATGAGTTTTTGCAGGGTATCTGGAGCAGTGGTCATTCATAATTCACAACGTGATCACATGCCACTATCTGGTGTGTCCCCGTGTCTCTGGCGAATTGCCTCCTTACACTGCGTGATACGCCTTTGATATGGTTCCGAATGACAGCACGCCACTCACGTTGAAGACGAAGGAAATGCTCGTCTCGTGTCTGGGCGATCGCTGATGTCTTGGCTAATAACATCCCAAAGATGTTCAGTGGGACAGATTTATGGATTCTTGCCCTTCTAAGGGAGGACTATGGCGTTACCTCTGACAGAGCATCTTCCTAGAAACCGGAAGGTAGTTGGTTCGATCCCATGGCCCCGTCAAACCAACACCTGTTTCACTGCCTGGTGCATGGAACTAGGAGGTAAAACGTGTGCTGGTCGTCGATGAATTTGAGGGGGCCTGATATCTCACTTGGTAATCACTAGAACACCAACGGAAGTCCGGACGCACACGTACATGGATTCAACAATGTGCAAAGCCGAGCTTGTAATAGTTATATTACGTCGTTAATAATAGTATACCGCCAATGCCAGATATGAATTTAACCTGCTTTTTAGACAATGAAACAATGCATTTTATCGTTTATAACTAAATTGTTCTTGATAAAAAAACCCGACATTGTGAATCATTTGTAGGCTTGCAATTATGCCTGACCCCAATAGCCTTTCATGAGACATGCAGTTCCACGTGGTACATATATATTGTATATTTAGAAGTATAACACCTCTTCTAGTTAATCGCTTTTTGAACAACCCCGTGACTTCTAACATCATGATGTCATATTGTGTAATATCGGGAGTTCAGAATCACCACATATGCTTGGTTTAACAATTACGTTCCCCGAAATATGCCACGTGTTCCAGACTGCAACTTGCCAGGAAACAAAGCCAGGCTGCAACTTGCCAGGAAACAAAGCCAGGCTGCAACTTGCCAGGAAACAAAGCCAGGCTGCAGCAGATTCGGATGCCATCACACACATGATGATTAACACTTGAATGTCGCCTTCAGAGTAACATCCATCCATCCACTCTACTATAACACACGCTAGGGTAACAACCCTTCTGTGAATGACGCCAAACCATACAGGTATACTCACACCTGGAAAATGTCTATCCACGCATATATTACACCGGGACAACACTCGCACATATGTCACACCTGGACAACACTCACACATATGTCTCACCTAGATAACACACATTTGTCACACCTGGATAACACACACATAGGTCACACCTGCACTACACTCACACATAGACAACACTCAGGTCACACCTGGACCAGGACAACACTCACACAAAGGCCACACCTGGACAACACTCACACATTATGTCATACCTGGACAACACTCACACATACACCTGTCACACTGGAACAACATGTCAACACTCACACATGTCACACCTGGACAACACTCACACATATGTCACACTGGAACAACACTCACACATGTCACACCTGGACAACACTCACACATATGTCACACTGGAACAACACTCACATATGTCACACATGGACAACACTCACACATGTCACACCTGGACAACACTCACACATGTCATACCTGGACAACACTCACGCATATGTCACACTGGAACAACAATCACACATATGTCACACCTGGACAACACTCACACATATGTCACACTGGACAACACTCACACATCATGTCACACACTGGACAACACTCACACATGTCACACCTGGACAACACTCACACATGTCACAACTGGACAACACTCACATATGTCACAGCTGGACAACACTCACATATGTCACAGCTGGACAACACTCACACACATATGTCACAGCTGGACAACACTCTCACACATATGTCACAGCTGGACAACACTCACACATATGTCACAGCTGGACAACACTCACACATATGTCACAGCTGGACAACACTCACACATATGTCATATGTCACAGCTGGACAACACTCACACATATGTCACAGCTGGACAACACTCACACATATGTCACAGCTGGACAACACTCACACATATGTCACACCTGGACAACACTCACACATATGTCACAGCTGGACAACACTCACACATATGTCACAGCTGGATGGACAACACTCACACATATGTCACAGCTGGACAACACTCACACATATGTCACAATGGACAACACTCACACATATGTCACAGCTGGACAACACTCACACATATGTCACAGCTGGACAACACTCACACATATGTCACAGCTGGACAACACTCACACATATGTCACAGCTGGACAACACTCACACATATGTCACAGCTGGACAACACTCACACATATGTCACAACTGGACAACACTCACACATATGTCACAGCTGGACAACACTCACACATATGTCACAACTGGACAACACTCACACATATGTCACAGCTGGACAACACTCACACATATGTCACAGCTGGACAACACTCACATATGTCACAGCTGGACAACACTCACATATGTCACAACTGGACAACACTCACACATATGTCAACTGGAAGCAACACTCACATATGTCACAACAGCTGGACAACACTCACATATGTCACAACTGGACAACACTCACACATATGTCACAGCTGGACAACACTCACGCATATGTCACAGCTGGACAACACTCACACATGTCACACCTGAACACATATGTCACAGCTGGACAACACTCACACATATGTCACAGCTGGACAACACTCACACATATGTCACAGCTGGACAACACTCACACATGTCACAGCTGGACAACACTCACACATATGTCACAGCTGGACAACACTCACACATATGTCACAACTGGACAACACTCACACATATGTCACAACTGGACAACACTCACACATATGTCACAGCTGGACAACACTCACACATATGTCACAACTGGACAACACTCACACATATGTCACAGCTGGACAACACTCACACATATGTCACAGCTGGACAACACTCCACATGTCACATGGACAACACTCACATACACAGCTGGACAACACTCACACATATGTCACAGCTGGACAACACATATGTCACAGCTGGACAACACTCGCATATGTCACAACTGGACAACACTCACGCATATGTCGCACATCACAGCTGGACAACACTCACACATATGTCACAGCTGGACAACACTCTCACATATGTGTCACAGCTGACAACACACATACGTCACAGCTGGACAACACTCACACATATGTCACAGCTGGACAACACTCACACAACATCCGCACATGTCACAGCTGGACAACACTCACACATATGTCACAGCTGGACAACACTCACACATATATGTCACAGCTGGACAACACTCACACATGTCACAACTGGACAACACTCACACATATATGGACAACTGGACAACACACACACATATGTCACAGCTGGACAACACTCACACATATGTCACAGCTGGACAACACTCACACATATGTCACAGCTGGACAACACTCCGCACATATGTCACAGCTGGACAACACTCACACATATGTCACAACTGGACAACACTCCGCACATATGTCACAGCTGGACAACACTCACACATATGTCACAGCTGGACAACACTCACACATATGTCACAGCTGGACAACACTCACACATATGTCACAGCTGGACAACACTCACGCATATGTCACAGCTGGACAACACTCACACATATGTCACAGCTGGACAACACTCACACATATGTCACAGGCTGGACAACACTCACACATATGTCACAGCTGGACAACACTCACACATATGTCACAGCTGGACAACACTCATCACATATGTCACAACTGGACAACACTCACACATATGTCACACTCTGGACAACACTCACACATATGTCACAGCTGGACAACACTCACACATATGTCACAGCTGGACAACACTCACACATATGTCACAGCTGGACAACACTCACACATATGTCACAGCTGGACAACACTCACACATATGTCACAGCTGGACAACACTCACACATATGTCACAGCTGGACAACACTCACACATATGTCAGCTGGACAACACTCACACATATGTCACAGCTGGACAACACTCACACATATGTCACAGCTGTCACACTCACTGGACAACACTCACATATATGTCACAGCTGGACAACACTCACACATATGTCACAGCTGGACAACACTCACATATGTCACAACTGGACAACACTCACACATATGTCACAGCTGGACAACACACATATGTCACAGCTGGACAACATCACATATGTCACAGCTGGACAACACTCACACATATGTCACACGGTTTATGGACAACACTCCTGGATATCACAGCTGGACAACACTCACACATATGTCACAGCTGGACAACACTCACATATCACACAAGTCTGACCCCTATCAACGCTTTATATCACACAAGTCTGACCCCAATCAACGCTTATATCACACAAGTCTGACCCCTATCAACGCTTATATCACACAAGTCTGACCCCATATCAACGTTTATATCACACAAGTCTGACCCATATCAACGTTTATATCACACAAGTCTGACCCCAATATCAACGTTTATATCACACAAGTCTGACCCATATCAACGTTTATATCACACAAGTCTGACCCCATCAACGTTTATATCACACAAGTCTGACCCATATCAACGTTTAT